ACTTTTCAAGTTAAGTACTTTTTTCTCGTGTTTCTGGGATTTTCATTTTTGTGAAAAGCGACTCAGGAACAGAACCTCCCTATGCCATGGGGTTTAGACTAAATATGTTGATGAGCCTAGCGTGTTTAAAGAGTTGTCATTTGTAAAGGGTTCACTTCGACCTTTAACATAGCATCAATCTATTGAATGGGCGGGTTATTTATGATAACTTTGATCGAAACATCACCAAGTCCAAAAATCAGCCTTGTAGCTGGTTAATTGTGAGCCTCAAAAGGGCGAAATGCACTTTTGTATTTACACGCGGTCCTAACTTCGACCGTTGAATTTTTGACCTACCAGATGTTTGAAAATCAAGGATTGCGACTGTCATACTGCACAGTTTTTCTTCAAACTTATACCATTAAAAGCAGAACAAAATTGCCTTTCTGTCGGTGCATTACTTTATTGTAAAAAGTCCCTCGTTCTAGCAGCGTTTTGGTCCCCAGCTGTTAGAAAGCCTTCTTACAGCTGGGGACCAAAATGCCGCTGGAAGTAGGGACTCAGTTTAAGAGAATGATGTACCATCAGAAAGGGATTTTTGTTATGGTTTGAATGGAACAAGTTTGAAGAAAAACGGTGCAGTATGAGACTCGTAATCCTTGATTTTCAAACATCCGGTAGGTCAAAAATTCAAAATAACGGTCGAAGACCGCGTGATTTAGTGACTGGACTTTTTTTTATTTATGAATTTAGATTTTACAAAACTATGAATTTTTTTCAAACTTCTTAGTTGCTAGTTTGATGGGCGTTAACAGACTCTCTTCCAAGAATCTGTTTGTCACTTCCAGTTCTAAGAGTTCGCACGATTGGAAATCCTTGTCTACACGGACTAGTTTTATAGCGTCAAACGTTTGAGATAAAAATGTGGTTTAATGTAAAATCAAAAGTAAACAGTTTTTGTTTTATTTTTCATTGAGAAGAGAACACGTTCGATCGATTAAATTGGAAAACTAGTAACTTTGACAGAAAGTAAATGAATGATTATAAGGTACCACTGTGAAATAATTTGGATTATTTTTATTCTAAGAATCGCTCAAGTGGACATCGTTATCCTTTTTTCAAGTTATTCGACTTGCATTTTTGATCAGCCCTGCATTACATGGAAAGAAACCTTTTGAGAAGTTGCCCTCAGATTGTTTCCCAAAACAACTAAAATAATGGACCCGAAATATCGTTAAAGTCTCATTTTACAAAAAAAATTTAACAGAGATAAATCTTTTACTCGTAGAACAGCTATTTGTCTGTTGGGAAGAAAATGCTCGATCATCCATTTGAAGAATAAGTTCAATGTGCACCCATGGTAATGTTGATGACGTAGACATTTTAAGGGCTCTGACCAAGGAGGATTGGCTCCAAGAGTGCAACATCGATATTCTGTCCCATATATGGGTCACATACATGTATACAGGGTGTCAAATAAGTCCCGTTTCCTCCTCAACAGCCAAACCCAAGATATATGGTACCAAGTGTGATATATCATTGGAAAGGTCTTCCAGAGTTATCTTGATTGGCATATATCAGCTGACACATGTCAATCAATCTCACAAATTTTTACATTGTATCAATTGAGGTAACCATAGGCCTAGAAACGTGGCAATTTGGCGTATTTGGCAGGATTTTAAGAATCGGGTATGAGAAAAGTCAAAGGACCCAATTAAAAGATGACTACATATGTATATGGCAATGAATTAATCCAATTTCTGGATAGGGTTAGATGTGAAGAAAATAGAAGTGCAAGGAAAGTCGTGAAAACCTTTTTGTATAAAGCGGAATGAGAAAAAGGTTAACTTTTTGACATATTTCTGAGGTCATATCCTTCTCATTTTGACGCAATAAAAGCTGTTTTAAGGAGGCTATACTAACTATAAAGAACATCATCAAAATATAGGTGAATTTTATCCAAAATACTTGAGAGTTTGTGAGTTAACATAACTTTGGATCTTTCCAATGGTGTATCACACTAGGTACCATTATATTATCATTATTATTTTATTTTATTGTATGTCGTGCTACAAAATTCGAATTTCAATAGCCGCCATTCTGTTCACTTCAACATCTGAATCATGAATTTTGGTCTTATTACCCAACGAAAAATTCCAAAACTTACAAGAAATGATCGAGATATTGGTTCGAAACTGTTCATTTTGAATTTATAATCGGTCATAATTTCAGATAATAACCGCGTTTCCATTGTTGGAAAATAATATACATTTTCAAAATATCGACTTCGATTCTGGGAGCCAATCCTCCCTGGGCTCTGACAAAAAAATTTTGAGATATCAGTTACTTCATTGTTTTTGTTTATTGTTAGGAAAATGATACAAGGAATGGTGTCTCTCATGAATAACCCGTAATCGAAATGTCTCGGTAAAATCGAATTACTGCTTTTTTCTCAGAATGAAAAACGTCCTCAATCTTATATCACTAAGAACTATAATCAAAGAACGATAGCCTGAACGATAAAATATTTTTTATGTCATAATCCAGTGTAACCGAGGGTTGAACTGAACAACTGGTAAAGAGTTTTATTGCAAAAACTTCCTGGATTCCGCAATTCAGGCATAAGGTGTTAGCCCATACATATCCACACTTTCAATTTCCGTCCAAATTCTCGTATCCACAATCAGGGCCAGTAAGGGCATTTAAGAAAGGAGACCATAATCCCCAGGGGACCATAATATCTTTTACACCGGCACTAGTACTAGACATGTCAGATGACCCCCCCCCCCCCCTTCCCGCTTTCCTCTCTGTGACTTGTCAATTTTCACTTCCCAGCAGGTCAGGACCATCGTAATTTTGAAAACACCACAACCTTAATTGTTTTTAGATTAGCGTAAATAACGCTTATGTATGGCTCAGGTTAGATGAAAATGGGTACGATGGGGGAGGGGGAGGGGGATAATTTTCCATCTTTTGCCTGCGTTAATATTAATGTTTTCTTCCGTCTGACGCCCACATATCTTGGTCCCATATCTTTAGACATACTTTTTATTGAACTAATTATAAGTCAGGACAAACATCAATAATGAACTTACATACATATTTAGTATAATCTCGTTATGAATATCTTAAATTATATAAAACTTTAAAATTGAATAAGAAAACTCACCGTGATATAAGTTCCTCAGTTCAGCCGTTTCCTCGTTTCAATCCATTGTTTTTATTTAAAGTAATCCATGAAAGTCAATCTCCAAAACCTGTGTAGGTAAAGTACAATTTCCATTTAAACTTAAGTTTGTTTGCAGATAATCCGAATAATTGTCTTTTAGTTTCTTTACCTAAAGGGTGCGGTGGATTTTTCACGTACGATTTTATGTCAGTTTTCATTTTAACTCGCTGACCCTTATCTTAAATATTTTTTCTGAAGTCAAACTTTATCAATAAAATGATGCGGTTACAAATAGAGTCGCTAAGACAGTATATGCCCCGGCTATAAATCGTACTTCAATGTAACTGACAGAGCATTCAGTCCATCCATACAACCCTCTTTTCATGATCCGTCGAGTGTGAATTAGACTTTTTCCCCGTCATAGCTAAATATTTTCCTACTGTTGTGCAGACGTATAGTATTTTAGTAAAACATCCGTCCGTTTGAGTATTTATTTCATTTCCTCGGTTCGATTTTGCAATCAATTTCAAACAATGATAGAAATTGTTACAATAAATATAATAATACGTCAATCCACTTACGATCCTAAACAATGCCCCAATTTGAAAAGGAAAAATCATGTTTTTGGAATGTGCGTTAACTCGCATGGAAAATGAAATAGTCAACTTACTTTAGTCTTCTTTACGGAACTTATGCTGTTTGAGATATAGCAGTACATCTTTATTGAGCAACGCTAGCTAGAAAATAGAGGTCTACATGCTTAGAAACAAGTCTTTAATTATTGATAATGCACGCTATTTGGGAGTAATTAACGGAGGCAAAATGAAAGTTCTTGATTATATTTTTATTCTCATCAAAAGTAAGTTCATTGTAATTGTTTTTAGTATTGTGTAAGATGTCTATGAATTACCGGATGGTGTTGCTTTGATATAGGGTCTCATGGGGAGGAACGTATAGCAACACTGTACTGGACCATCAAGTTGTGAACGTACATGTTGGATCCATATATTAGTTGCATTTCCTCGGTAGCTGTTTTTAATACTAAGGGGAGCACTTTATGACCATGTCATAAAGTTTGTAAAAAAGAAACGAATTCATTCATTCATATATGGATATCTGTGTACTTATATGTTCAATTATTTGTGGTTGTGTATTGTTTATTCACTTGGTTGAAATTCTTAACTATTTGCATTAACGAGCTCTGTTCATATCATGCTGAAGAAAAAGGTTTATCATAATATGTGTACGAATGCATCTAATCAGTTTTCTAGAAAATGTAAATATACATTGATTATCTTATAATATGAGGTTTGGGATATTGGGATGATACAGAGGTTAATGTAATATATCTATCCGAAGGCCATTTATAACGAGGGCAGATATATCATATTGGCTAAGGGATAATCCCAATATCCTGAACCGACTATAAGATGATCTGTTTATCTCATACCGATCTTGTTCATCTGGTTCACACTCAAAAGGTACTAGTGGAACGATTTTTTCATAGTTGATATATTTGAATACTCAGAAGCATGTCACTCTGTCTTTTAACACTTTGGCTAGTAGGGGACCATTTTGAAAAATGGCAGCAATATTTACATGTGTTATTTTACGATTTTTTACGATTTTACAAACTTAAAAAGTAGAAGAGGAATTTTGTGAAAATGGCAGTCATGTCTGTTCGATGGAATTTGCTACACCTGCGTTGTTGTTATTTAGTATTATTGCTCAAACATACGCACATTAATTGTTTTCAAACTTAATTGTTATTAGAATAATTATAATTATTCTACATCAGTAACAGTATCACGTTAAACCGTCACTCCTACGTGGACTTTAATCACATTAAACAAAATATGATTTAGAATCTAATGACAACCACTTCATCGAACCATTCATCTTTACTATCATTTTCATTACTATACATGTGTATCCTGAGATTCGAAACTTCAATCTTTCTGGCAAGGAAATGGATATCCGAAAAACAAGGTTAGTTTCAATGATTATTTAATGACGTTATTTCTTTTTTTGTCATCAGACAATTAAGGTTGGTAGCAATATCATAATATCATAAAAAATACAATACTCAATAAATTGGAAGTGAATATAGGGGAAAATCGTAAAATACAATTACGTTATAAAATGTTTAAACTTTTTAAAATAATTCAAAACAACATGTTTACCAGTGCATCGTCTTTTTAAGCAGCGAATTCCATTTTAATAACACTGAATTAATATAATGCAATAATATCCGTCTTTTACAGTAAATCTGCCTTTGAATGTTAATAATCTATAACCACGGAAAAGTGTTTTTCTCTTTCGGTAGATATCATTTTTCCCCGACGCTTGGTTCCATCATTTTATATTCTCTGTTGTTTCTCAAACCTTTAATGAGACAACATGTCTTTAAACAGACCCAATGAAACAAACAGTAATACGTGTCACAGGAATATCTTCGTATGTACTGTACATTAGAGAAATTATAGGCACTTTTTGCATTATAGGCTTTGGTCACAAATTACGTCAATATAACGTACGTGCAGTATTTGTACATAACTCATACGTTTATATTACTGCCATGACGCGGGCCTAAGCGATTATCCCTACCTTCCATGCCCTTGAAAATTCTGGTCGGATACAAACAAAGGTTTTATGAAGTTAAATAAGGTATTCTTAGGTTCGAAAATAAAAAAATCATCCATTTAAAAAGCTACGACCTCTATTCAAGCAGAGACATATAAAATGTTTTATATGTCTCTGATTCAAGCAATAAAGTTCTTGGGCGTTGTAACTAAATTACACAGGGTAAATGCATCATCTCATTTTTGCCACCATTGATAAACACTTTGACACCAAGACTAATATTTATGTATTACTCCTTAAGAACGGCCTCGAAAAAAGATATCGATAAAAAATTAGAAATTAAAAAAGTGTTTTAGATTAATTATTCTCTGTCAACCAAAGTATGATAAAACATGTACAAACATTCGAATTTTGGTTCGTCCCGAATATAGAAAATTAGAGAGAGACAAATCTACATTTGTTACTATTATAGTTTTATTGATAATCGACATCCATGTGACGAAATCTTAAGGATTTTATCACATTTGCACTAGGTTATAATAACTATCACATTAATGACATTTTTTATCCTCTTGGCAACTGGAGATATCCCACATACCACCAAAATGCCGTCAAGCCATCTTTAAAATAAATACGGATATACATGTACGTGCTTTATAATTATATCAACATCTATATTTATAACATATAAATATTGTATATGTTGTTAGATTTTATTTCACCTCTGTATTTTTCAGATCTAATGTAATCTTAAATCTGGGAATTTGTATATTGATAGGTAAGTACTGTAGAGCACTAGTATCTAAAACATATTCGTAGTCTATTATCCATCTTCATCTATGTAAAATATCAGCTGAAAGTACGAGGGTTGATCATAAAGTTCTCATAATATCTTTCTAGTTTTATTTTTTTCAATATATTTTCATAAAATTTTCACAGAATCTGCAGTATTATATGACTTCTTAATCAAGCAAATGTTTGTGTAAATGATTGATTGATTGATTTGGCAAAATATTCTCCATTTTCCACTTCCATTGTCGAAATATGACGCTTTTATTCAACTCCAAAAGTATTGCCTCATGCATTTGATTGAAACTGTGCAAGTGGCGTAGTTGGTACATGGCGTACGTTTCATGTACAGAATCTGTTCATGTGTAGAAAAATCAAACGCATTGATTTGTTTATTGTTGTCATGTCCTAGTAGCTAGTAATATTCGTTTCTTGAAGATTTTTTCTCATTTTTAACCAATCGCTTTGCCTTCGAATTCTCACATACAAGAACTGCAACTTGGTATCACCTGATTTCCATCTAATTAAGGTTTTTTCGGGCCTGTGAATGCTCAAGGCCTCAGATGTCCAGAAGATTACGCCTGCTATCCATTGGGAGGCTATTGCAACGAAGATGCTGGGATTTGTGATTGCTATCATAATTTTCGAGGAGTACGTTGCTCAGATTGTGAGTTCTCACAGAATACTGTTTAAAGTGTGATTCTCTTAATGTCACTGAACAAAACAAATATATTTGTGTATGTCTTATTCTCAAACAGTTCAGTTTCTACGGAAAGCGAAAGGGGATATACCGCAGAATTTAAAATTCAATGGAGTTTTAACATGGGAGTGATATCACACACCGCGGCCCAGTCAGATATATTTCTGCGCACTTTATTTATTTAATTCACTTTGCACAACGCGCCCCTGTAATTCATTCAGTGCGCAATTAAAAATTGTTTATGAGTGATATCGCACACCGCGGCCCAGTAAGATCGATTTCCGCGCACTTTATTTATTAACAGACTCAAAATATCGCGCTGAAGCTTGTATATGCTGGCGCGATGTAATTATAGTTTTCTGTTAATAAATGCCCAACAAGAAAGGGTAGCACAAAGAATTCAACTTTTTTCGAAAGACTGCAGACTTGACCTGCGAAATTGTAATTTTGGATCACAGTGATGCCTCTAGAGAGGATATCTATGAGAATTACAGATTATAGTGCGCAGAATTATAAAGTCAAACTGACCTCAAAATGGTAGTACACAGTGTACACTGCCATCTTTCAATAAAGTAACTACAGACCTTCGTATACAAAATACCAGAATGATTGATGTAATACCTGTATACCATTTCTTCTGGGAGAAGGAAAGTTCCTATATGTATTCCATGGCCGTAGCCAGGGGGCCTCACCCCCCTCCCCCTTGCCAAATATTCGTTCAAAATCATGCAGTTTTTCACCATTCTTAGCACTTTTCGCATGATTTTTTTGCCATAACTGTCAAAAAGCTCCCCCCTCTTGGCGAAATCTCCCCCTTGGTAAAACCACTCCCCCAGGTTAATCCAGGATACGGGTCTGTATTCTTAGACGAGATTGTTCAAGAACATAAGGTAGACATAAGTGCCACCTGTTAAAAGCTAGGAGATCTTTTCTAAGTTATTAAGTCATCAATCAGCAGACTGGTAATTGTATCCCCCACCCACTTCAAACTCCATACACTAACATACTATTACAATTTTATCTGTGTTTATTTGACTGTAGAAGGTGTACATTCATAGCATTGAATTGCATTTCATTGCACTGTATTGTATTGCACTGCACTGAACTGCGATGTATTGTATTGCACTGTATTGTATTGCACTGCACTGTATTGAACTGCGATGTATTGTATTGCACTGCATTGAATTGCACTGTACCACATTGTATTGCACTGCATTGTATTGAAATGAACTACATTGTAACTGTATTGTATTTTATTGCACTGCATTGCACTACATTGTATTGCACTGTATTGAACTGCGATGTATTGTATTGCACTGCATTGTATTGCACTGTATCACATTGTATTGCACTGCATTGTATTGAAATGAATTACATTGTAACTGTATTGTATTTTATTGCACTGCATTGCACTACATTGTATTGCACTGTATTGAACTGCGATGTATTGTATTGCACTGCATTGTATTGCACTGTACCACATTGTGTTGCACTGTATTGTATTACACTGCATTGCTTTGTATTGCACAGTATTGTATTGCATTGTCTTGATTTACACTGCATTTTATTACACAGCATTGTATTGTATTGCACTGTGTTGTATTGCATTGTATTGAATTGCACTGTATTGTATTTTATTGCACTGCATTGCACTACATTGTATTGCACTGTATTGAACTGTGATGTATTGTATTGCACTGCATTGTATTGCACTGTACCACATTGTATTGCACTGCATTGTATTGAAATGAACTACATTGTAACTGTATTGTATTTTATTTCACTGCATTGCACTACATTGTATTGCACTGTATTGAACTGCGATGTATTGTATTGCACTGCATTGTATTGCACTGTACCACATTGTGTTGCACTGTATTGTATTACACTGCATTGCTTTGTATTGCACAGTATTGTATTGCATTGTCTTGATTTACACTGCATTGTATTTTATTGCAGTGTAATGTATTGTATTGCGCAGCATTGTATTGTATTGCACTGTGTTGTATTGCATTGTATTGAATTGCACTGTATTGTATTTTATTGCACTGCATTGCACTACATTGTATTGCACTGTATTGAACTGCGATGTATTGCACTGCATTGTATTGCACTGTACCACATTGTATTGCACTGCATTGTATTGAAATGAACTACATTGTATTGCACTGCACGGCATTGTTTTGCACTGTATTGCATTGCACTGCATTGTATTGCATTATATTGCACTGTATTGTATTGCATCGTATTGCACTGCATTTTATTGTATTATATTGCACTACATTGTATTGTATCATATTGCACTGCATTTTTTGCATCATATAACACTGCTTTGTATTGCATCATATTACACTACATTGTATTGCATCATATTGCACTGCATTGTATTGCATCATATTGCTCTGCATTGTATTGCATCATATTGCACCGCATTGTATTACATCATATTGCACCACATTGTATTGCATCATATTGCACTGCATTGTATAACATCATATTGCACTGCATTGTATTGCATCATATTCCGTATTTACCATTTCGTTACAGTTTTATTACATAAAATGTTATTTATAAGATTATAATTTTCAAACATTGAAAATATTTTATACAATATCAATTAAAAGATATGAAATGGCCCAAAATAATATATTTTCAATGGAACCCTTTGCAAGGGTCACTTCAACATAACGCCATGTGTAATCTGTATGCATACGCCCTCTTTTAATGAACATTATCTTTGAAACCATATTAGAATCGAATCTGATAAAAGTGCGCATCATGGTCCTGGATGTGCTGCGCGGTAGAATCGGGAAATTTCAAAGTTCTCCTCGTTAGAGCCATCAATATTATCCAAAATTGTCATTTCGCTGGTTCACTCCGCAGTCTTTCGAAAAAAATCAAATTCGTGGTGCCACGAATTTTTATTCGTTATTTATTCACAGATAATCATTTTTTCATCGCGCACTGAATGCCGGAATTTCTGCGCACTTTATTTTAATTAACTTTGCACAACGCGGCCCCTGTAATTCATTCAGTGCGCGATGAAATCTATCTGACTGGGCCGCGGTGTGTGATATCACTCCCATGTTAAAACTCCATTCGATTTTGAATTATGCGCATGTCCCCTATAGCTTTCCGTAAGTTTCAATCAGTTATATCATGATGATTACTGTTTAGTATTATCATAGTCAAATGGGAGTCAACCGACTGAATAGTCTACAAACATACACCACGCAAACAACGCTTTATATCAGCAAAACTAGTGATACATATATTTATTATCGATTGTCATGTCTTCACATCTGACATATTCAATCTCCAACTTTTTGTGACCGGGGTTCGGCGTCTGCAACAAATGACAGGTGATGACATTTTGCATGTTTATGCAACGTTTATTGTAGATACAGATCCGTGTATGATATCGCTAGCATGCGGCGGCCAGGTTAGTGGAACATGTATACCCCAACGGATAGGACTGAGAGGATACAAATGCATATGTAGAGAAGGCTATATTGGTGTTGAGTGTGAACGAGGTTAGAGTACTTTTATTTGTAAAAATCACAAATATTGCCAGCTGCAACATTTTTCACTATTATGATAAAGATTGGCATAAAATAGGAGTACGACAGTTATGAAATTCTGAATGAAAATCGTCAACTTCATCAGTAAGTATTGGAAACTCTAGGCCTTTCGAAATTATATCATTAAAATATGTCAGTAATGAAGAAAAAAATATACTGTTTAAGATGTCAGATGGTGCACCCTCAACCGTTGTGAAAATGGGGGACTCTGCCAATCATTTGGAGCACACGGCGTTTGTCATTGTCCTCCAGGATTTACAGGAATTAGATGTGAACAAGGTTTGTTTAATAAAGCATTAGCCATCGTAGATAATAATTATAAATAAATAAAAATTCGGTAACCCCTTTGACGATAAAAATGAAAGCATCTGGAGTGTGATGAGACCAATAACGAAGGTTAGATCGATAGACTGGTTCAACATCAAGAAAATGGAATTGGTCGGTCAAATTTTAGGTGAAAAAATGTTGTTATCTTTTTGGCGAGCAGAATAAGCAAAGAAGTAATATGAGTTTTAAAGGACATAGAAGAAATAAGTTCTTTAATATGTGGGTTGGGTCAAGCATTATAATGACCTTCCTTGCCACAAATGAGATCTCAGAATAAATTTCTCTGAACAGACAGATTTTCACAAATCACCATTTTCTTGATGCTGAATCAGTTTTTCTAAGTTATCTTACTAATAATTTGTTCCATGATTCTTCTAATATTCCAATTTTTGTCTGGAAATTATTTCGGAATATACTGAACACCCACCTTGACAGACTGATCATACAGTATGTAGACATGTGCAGCATAAATTATGATAGATACAAATACAAATTTTAGATCGCCGATGTACCCCCATCCCTTGCAGAAATGGAGGAATGTGTATACCAGGCGGGATTAATGGAGAAATCTACACATGTGATTGTCCATCTCTTTACACTGGGAGGGATTGTGAGATAAAGAAGCAGGCCTGTTTGCCGAGTCCCTGTGGCATGAATGGCCTTTGCCTGGACAGAGGAGATTCTTACGTATGTGATTGTTTTCCTGGCTACACTGGAGTTCAATGTGAACAAGGTGAGCGTCTTCGAGAAATACAGACAAATCAATTAAAATTCTCACCATTGACATATTTTATTAGTATGTAATATTTAATACCTCCTTTCGAATGGGCTCTAGAGCTTTGAGGATGTTCGCAGTGTCCTAAAATATGTCGCATGTATTTTAGAAATTGATTTCTGCGTCAACGTAACGTGCAGTTACCATGGTAGCTGCTATAACAACACTGATAGGTTCTCGTGCTTCTGTAACCCAGGATACACTGGATATGAATGCGAAATAGGTATGCCAAATCTAGATAATGATTAGTGAATTCGAAGTGGGTATGAGTATATATTCACATCCTTTTTATATATATAACTACACATGTTCAGAATAATGGTTAATACATAAATCAATTAGTTATCAATTGTAAGAAATCGTGAATATAAACAATCAATTATATTATTGTAATCTCTCACTTTGCAGATGTAGACCCATGTATATCTTCTCCTTGCCAACATGGTGGAGCGTGCCGTAGAGTGGCGACTCCATTCAACTACACATGTTCATGCACACATGGATACACTGGCCGGCATTGCGAGACAGGTATGGCATGTCCAACTATGTATAGTTTATTCCCGGGGTTTATTTCGATCCTGTGAGGTAAATAACTTGCCTACTCATCTACTGTACATAAGCTGTCACGTTGATTGCTATTTTCAAATGTGAATATCGTTATCATTATTCCAGATGATCTGTTTACAAAGTCAGTTTGGGGAGTTACTATCGGCACCGGCGTTCTCCTCGTCGTCTTTTTCATATTTATTTCTATCTGGTTTGGGATAATTATAGTTCGCTTAAAGAAGGTAGCGCAACCACAGAGGTTGACAAGGTACGATTATTCAATTTAGATAATTTAGCCTATTTCTAGATATCCATGAAAATACGAGTTTTATACAAATCACCAATCTCTTATCATTTACAATGTCACATTGAAGGTACGTGTATGGGACGAGAGACAGTGTGGGTCCGGGCATGGTTCACGATAAAGAGAAATTCACAATGGCATACGACAATGCTACGTATAACAACACCGAGAACTTCCCGGTTGGAAACGTTGGACCATACCACAATGGACGAGAAGGAAATGTTATGATAAGCCCAAACCTCGAACTGCATAGCCAACCATCAGAAACACTGTTGAGAGAACTTAACAACAGAATAATGCTTTATGAACATTCCAGAGTTAATAACGGTAAGTATAATTTGAACATTGTTACTCCTTTCGAAGGACAATCCATTGTTTCCATTATGTCAACGTTGAATTAGTAAAATGATAAATGCCCCAATACTTTTTTCCAGGACTTCGCCAGAACAATTCACGATAGCGACATATAGTTAGGACCTACAGTAAGAGGAAACTTAAACGGATAATGTATCTAAAATACCCTTAATTCTTAAGATTGCACGGCCTGCAAGTTGCACTCTCAATACACTTACAGTATATACTATATGGCTCTATATATGAAACTTCTTTCCTGAAAATACCATTACTTAATAAGACTGCTTACCATGTAAGTGCGTACTACAAGTATGTGCAAATTATAATGGTGTGTGACCTTCATATACTTTCAAAAATAAATTTTACTTTCTATTGTGAGCAATTTTCAAGCTCTAATACATAAAAGCTTGAAATAAAATTGAGTTTTTTTATAAAGTCTATTGATGGTTCAAGTTGGAGGTTAACTGAATATTTCAGTCGAGAAATAGACACTGAGCCACTAAACTGAGACTGACAAAAAGAGACAATTTTGGGTTCAAACTGTGTACTATTTTACGCGTAGTGTGTGCACTGTGTCGTGTATAGGATAGGTCGCAATGTTATCATTTTGTATATTAATAAAAAAAATTGTATAATCATACATTTTGTAAAAATGTCCAAAAAAGCTCAGTTGAATAATTGAAAATGCTTCGTGAGTGTAATCAACAAACTACTTTCACATTTTGGAAAAATCTACTGACATGGATACTTCAGTTACACCTAAAATAGCTTTTTAGGTGCACCTCATTGTGCACGAGATCAAATACTCAGTCATTAGAGCACAGCACGCTGACTAGTTATACTTTTTATCATCATATCATCAGGTTCATAAGTTGTTTTAATCACTCAATAGGTATATTAAGGAGAACATATTTTCAGTATCTATATTTTTTTTAGAAATGAAGTGTTTGAACATTCATATACCATTACTTATACTGTACATTATACTTAAAGTAAATAAGTTCCATGTATCACTGTATATATTGCAATTGTGCTGTTACGTAATTAACAGTTCGAATAAATGAAGTTTATATAATAATATAGTAGATAATTTAACATATGCAATGTGTTATGTAATGCGTGTTTGTTAGCTTCATTTACAACTACAAAATAGGTAACTGGTAATGAAATATGGAATTCGCGCGTATAACACATGATGTCTTCAGGTGCGATCTGAACATTTGAAAAGATATTTAAGCATTTAGGTTGAAGGACCTCAAGATGGGCGGCGTTCCCATGTTTACAAAAAAGAATACATAGACATTTTAAAATTAAAAATAGCATGGGAAATGAGAACATTTTGATTTAATATTACTCTTTTGTAAGTCAGCTATAAAGCTCGGCTTGTTGCCTCCAGCTTAAATAGCATGCAAGAAACTAGTACATACCCCAGAGTACTGAGTCCTATACTTGAAGGATATGGTCAAAAATAATTTATGTTATTATCTATCGTTTACTTTCACTCAATCGAAAAAGTGAAGTAGGGCGTGATCTTTACAATTGTAATTAATAAAACCTCATAATAACACGATGTTATTCGAACCTAAAGAACTCATAAACATCTGTAAAAGAGACTTGTTATCAATATTGCTCACTATTGAAACTGAGAGATTTCACGAAGTATTAATGATAAATTAGAAAATTAAGAAGGCAATAATCTTAGAGGACTACTTTACTCTCTTAATGTTAAAAAGTGAATGGCAATATCGATTATAAGTTATTGATTACTCTATACTCTGAGCTCCATCCTAAGAAGAAATCATTCTCTATTACTGAATGACGACCAAAGGCATAAGAGTAAGTCAGTTTTAAAATATCTGATTAAATTCATTTTCAAGTCAATAAATCTGTTGTTTTAATCACTATTGAAATATTCTATAATTTATTTATTAGTATTCAGCATTCTATGGTATTTAGGCACTTTTATTTTTTGTAGTAGAGAATGGTGGACAAAATATGCGTCATTGCTGCGTTCTGTGTGCTTCTTTTGTGTGTGACTGAAACACGTAAGTCATTCAACGATGCATTCAATGTATATATAAGTCATTCAACGTTGCATTCAATGTATATTAAGTCACACAGTCATACTTTAGAAATAGGATTCGCTCAATGATATTCTTTCAGTTGGCTAGTTTTACTTTAACCATGGGCCCATGCTTTAACCAACAGTTTACCACGATGCTTTGACCATCGCCCATTTGTAACCGTGCAATTATGAATTTGGAATAAATCGAGTATAGATGAAAAGATTGTCGTATTTTCCAAATTCACATGAATAAACATTATTCTGTAGATGGAGCAACTCGGCCATGTAACCAATCTATTCCTTGTATGAATTTTGGAAGATGTGAAGGTAACTTGTCTGACCCTGATTCACTTTTCTGCCAATGTCTCCCAGGATTTAATGGAAGTCAATGTGAAACATGTGAGTAGACAAAGTGGATGTTGAGTGTAAACTTCTTAAATTGCGAAAGAATGTCAGGTGAAATGCAAAAACAGTCATACGATTTGGATAACAATTATTTTTGTGTTTCATTGTGTAGATCTTGGTTTAAGAGAATAATGTGATTGAATTCTATTTTCATATCATGTTATACTAGTAGTATCATATTTGGTGTAAGATAGTCAGTAGTGGAAATAATTTTTCATACCATACCGTTCCGACACCATTGCATGACGCCTTTTGACGAGTGAACATTGAGTAAAAATGTATATATTTATGTCATTTGATCTGTAGATGTTTCCCCATGCGCCTCTAGACCATGTCAAAACCAAGGATTGTGCGTTAATAATTTACACACGTACCAATGTTTATGTGGTGATACATTCAGTGGAACTCACTGTGAGATAGAAGGTAAACATAAGCAGAGTATGTTCATAAACAATTTTCAAGAAACAAATACCGTAGTAGCTTTCATTTCCTTGATTATACTTCAAGGAAAACATTTTCACTTGTTTTAACCATGGGCTTTCGAGAGCGTTTTGTTGAAAGCCAATGGTTCTGTTCTAACTGACCTTTTTTAACTGTTCGATCCTTAACAAATTTTCGATATCTTTAGGAGACCCATGTTTGTCAAATCCTTGTAGTAATGGTGGATCCTGCAAAGAAACAACTCCTTCCGGACTTGATGATCAGAATACAATCATTGATACCACAACTGCTAGAAGAATATTCGAATGTTCTTGTGTTGATGGCTTCACTGGGGAATATTGCGAACTTGGTAAACAAAATGCACAGGAAATATGAATGTTTTCCATACTTTCTTAAAGAGATCGAGTCGTCCAGATTTCTATTCTGGACAATCAGTAATGTCCCAATATAATTGCTCATAAAACATCATATATACCTTAGATATATCTTGAGACCAAATCATAAGCACGATATCGACAATATATTGGGGATATCAACAGGGCAACCAAAAGAACAACCAACTGTCAGAATTGAACGCAATAAGTCGAAACCAAAATACAATGTTTTGGGGGGATTAATCTATATTGTAACCCCTTAGAAGTAATAAATTTAAATTTCTATTGATGTAAGTGGAAATTCATGGCTAGGAACAATCATCGAATTGATACTGGTAACGAATTTATTCAAGCCTCAGAATTGATAAGTTATAAACAAACTTGTTTTACATCAAATAACAAGAAAAAATTAGGGGGTTACTCTAATTGTGTTTTTAGGAGACCCAATCTCTTTAATTTAAAGATTACAGATACAGTTACAAAAATGAAAAAAAAGTATTTTTGACCGGTTTAATCTTAAGTTATCTACATACACTCGAACTTTTGTTTTTAGCCAACCCACGTTTGTAAGATTCATGAAAAATCTAATATCACTTTCAATTACTGGTCAATTTATATCTCTTATCACCTTTACACGGGGGTCCAACTATACAAGAAAAAACAGTCTAACAAAAATTCAAATTAACGGTTTTCGTGTATAGTTGGGCCCCCGTGCATTAGAGTATGGAATGCCTTTTAAACCGCTCGACTAATTTTAGTTTTTTTGTGGAATTGGACAACGTTATATAAAAACTGAATGGCGTTGTTATTTGAGAATAAAAATGTTATAAAAACTTCAACTATTAGTTTAAAAAGACAAAGTTTCATTCCATACATCATACCAAATTTGACTTTGTTGAATAATTACTACACTGGAAGAATTATCATTAATCGATTCATTTCCAGATTAAATATTCGATAAAAAATAAAAGTACGATAAATATTTGTGTGATGATGTTATAAAAATGGCGAGTGGTATTTCGTAGAGATATTTTTGTGTGAATCTGCTGTCATTTTTCATGTACGTACTATATTTCTAATGTTTGATCCAGCCATTTCTACATGATTCAAATAATAAATGTTTCGCTCTTTAGCTGAAAACCAATGCAAGGTAGTAAAGTGCGAAAATGGTGCATTTTGCGTGGATTCTCAAAACAATTTCACGTGTGTGTGTAAACCTGGATTCGAAGGAAAATACTGTGAATTACCAAGTAACGTACATTTCATATTCATAATGAAATAATAAGGCGTATTTTCATATATACAAAATACTGAAACATAATTCATTTGTATAGTTCAATCTGAAACTATTGTAGAACGCCAAATTCAAGAACAATTAAATAAATTGAATTTGTTTACCAGGACCATGCAGTTCAAACCCCTGCTTCAATTTTGCTAACTGTCGAATTGTGGAAAGCCAGCCTTCGTTATACTATTGTGCTTGTAGATTTCCATTTACCGGATTTCTCTGCCAGTATCGTAAGTATCTGACACAGACCCCCATCACCCTCTAAAAATTAATTTTACATTAAATCGAGTACAGCACAAAATAAAAATTCGAGTTTTCTTCGGGGTATGTTGGAAATGCTATTCATAGAGTTTTATCATATTTTCTTACGTTTTTCTTACGTTAGTCTTTCTATTTCTTTCACATACGGTACTGAGTAAATGTTGATAATTTACAGTGATTAACCCATGTTCATCCAATCCATGCGGCAACAATGGCTTCTGCTTTAACTATATGAATACCACAAGTGTAGAAAATGGTACAAATTACAAATGCTTATGTGACAATGGATACACTGGAGCAGCGTGTGAAAACGGTGAGATCACAATTTACATTCAGGTCTTGTGTTGTACAGAAATCAAAAGAAATATTAAAAGTATTCAATTTACAAATTTGAAATTCCATGTGTAAACATTAAGACAAAAACAAGAAAAACAAAAAAAACATTAGACAATGTAAAAAACGCGTATGATATGATGTTAAATCAACATTATTAAAACGGTTTGGTTTACGGCACACCTCATTACAGCTATTGACTACTGCAACATACCGTCCCCGTGTAATGGCAATGGTAAATGTGTGAATCTACCACATCTGAACGAGTACAGTTGTGAATGCTATGAAGGATTTACTGGACAAAGATGCCAGATAGGTGATCTACCCATTCTATATACAAATTGGCAAATACAGTTTGACTAAAGTGACCATCTCAGTTAGATACGACATGTCCCCAGGTGTTACACCGTTGTTCCAATTGCTGAACAGTGTTTTCGTATCATAGGTGTGCAATATACTTCTAAAGGTATATGCACTCCTAAAATCATTCAAAGGGCTTCATTCATTTCTCAATTCAGGGAATGGAGGGAAATCTCCTTTGACCAAGGATGTCCGAGTTACGACTTTTGCAGAATATTTATTACATTCGGCCTACATTAAAAACTAATATATATCCACTTAAAATTACAGCTATAAATCCATGCTACTCGAACCCTTGTGTTCATCATGGGCAATGTCTATGGGAGAGGAAAAACAACAAGTACCAATGTTCCTGCCAAAACGGATACAGTGGAATCAACTGTGAGACAGGTAAACTCGTTTTGCTTTTCACAGTTATTGGTTTCATGAGTACAGCTAACTTTGCGAAAATATATCAGACCATTTGGTTGTTTATTTTTGTCAGAATTTTGTATCCTCGTTTTAAAAACGTTTATCATGTTTATTGTTCGATTTTGTGGTATTATTATGGCAAGAACTTTTCTTAGATCTTATGCATCCAGGCACAGTAGTTCTCTGGTTTCCTATTGTGGTTCTGTCTTTTGTAATCTTTCGGATTGTAATTAAATCCATACCTCGTTACAGCTATCGACTATTGCAACATACCATCCCCATGTAATAACAGTGGTAAATGTGTGAATCTACCACATCTGAACGACTACAGATGTGAATGTTTTGAAGGATTTGCTGGACTTAGATGTCAAACAGGTGATTACTAAAAGGTCATGTAAATAAATGGCAATGAAGACAAAGAATAAGGATTCAATACATGTAATTCCAACAAGAGAAATACATATTATAAGAAGATGACCAAAACAGATATTAATATTTTTTCACATAAATCTGTAAACAATATTTCGGCAAGAAATGGAAAGGCACTTTTCCATGTTATGTAATTGAAAAAAAATGACATCTTGTCTCTATTACAGCTGTATATCCGTGCTTCTCCAATCCTTGTGGCCATAATGGGCGATGTGTGTCGGAGAGTGAAGGAGATACGTACCGATGCAATTGCCAAGACGGATATAGTGGCAAAAACTGTGAAACTGGTAATGTACATTTATTGACTTTAACCCCGCATCATTATGCACAGATTAACCTCATAATAGCGATACAATTATGTTTTGTTGAGCAGGTCCAACTCTTGGTGGATGCTACCCAAACCCATGTCTTCACAATGGAGAATGTATTTGGAAACAAGAGAACAATGACTACCAGTGTAACTGCCTCGGCGGTTATAGTGGGAGGAACTGTGAAACAGGTACAGTGTCAGACTGTAAACACGTATATGGTATACCTTTTTGTCAGAAATGTTATTGACTAGTATGACATATGACCGAGTATCTCGTACTTTGCGATACTTTACGATTATTATTTACATCTTTCAGATGAGATTTTCAACCGCTCAGTTGCTGGCATCACAATTGCGTCTTTGATCTTAGCCGTCGTTAATGCAATCATTCTGTTGATATTGCTCATTGCATTGTGCATATGTAAGAAAAAAGAGGATGGGCAATTGCAGAAACTGGAAGACAGGTTTATGTAAGTGTACAACAAGAATGTACATGTGGCAAACTGTAATTAAGCAATGACAAATGAATCCAAATACACTATACCACCTGATATCAAAACAACATGTCCAAAACCTTTAAGTAAATAAGTTTTTCACCGACATTTAGTTGACATTGGTGTAATGAAGCTTGCTAGTGGTAAAAAGAACAGTTTGAAGTGTTTTATTAGAACTATAAGATTCATAAACTCTTGATTATTTCAGGAACAGCCAAAATCAATTTCAATCGAAAGCATCAGAAATCCTCATGGCAACCCAACAAAAACAAGACTCACAATTGAGAATAGCCCAGTCAGATATGGGAATAAAACAACAACAGTTTCAAAACCAACAACTGCAACCAACCATACAACCAATATATATAACAGATCCACACCAAGCAAAACAGATAGCACCGAGAGTTGAAATTATTGAACAAAGAACACCAGATGTTCCTATACCAAATGCGATAATTCCGCAGCAGATTCAAACTTCGGCATCTAATGCACATTTACTATCACCGACACGGAGTAAATACATAAGCACAAGGCCAACGAGACTAAGAGGACAAAGCGGTCGAGATGTAGGGGCTTACTCTGTCGATGACATGATTCGACCTGTGAGAAAATCCCATAATTTTATTGAGCCAGAGGTTGAAATGGACCGGAGGTAATCACAGTTTTACGTAACGTTTGTAAGAGGCTATCTATCCATATATTCAAAAATAGAAAAAATAAACATATAATATTTTGATCTGCTTTATTAAGGTTGTATGACGATGGATGGGAAGACCGAAGTTCTGGCATGGGAGATATTGTGACCAGTGCTGGCATACTAAATCCAGGGTTCTCTCAAGGGATTCCACTCCGAGAAATCAATAGACGAATAGAGACGGCACCAGCTCAAGCGATCACAACATCAGGAGTTTCTCCTGCCGCCGACCTGCTCATTGAACTTAAGGAACGAATATCAGACTATGAAAAAACAATATCTCGGAATAATAGAGGTCTCTTGCAAGATGAAATCATGTTCAATGGTTAGTATTTAGTTCCATGTATTGTATATTTTTAAACTTGTGCAGAAACCATACACCTGCAATACTTAGAGTTGGATTTCCCCGTGTACATTTTTTAACAGAACAATCAGTGTGGAAACAGTGTACTAGATAGTTCTTTACAAATATGTAGGTTGATAATTTATTTTTGTAGAACCATCCAGTCCAGCTGTGAGGGAAATCAAATCCCCTTATGACAATATATCAAATACAATTCGCCGTTTGGGCACAAAATCGGTAAGTCAATAGATACAATGAAGGTCAATTATGGACTGATTAAGACTCTTAAAATACAAGCCAATGCCACAAGATTATCAAATAGTTAATTTATACTTCCTTAACTATTTCTTCCAGTTACCTAAGGAACGAGTTAGCATGTACACTCCACTCTGATGAAACCATACAGATGACCCAATAAGGCAATAAGTACTGCATCTATGAAACTCTGACAAACGTTAGCCTACCGGGTGAAATGGTTACTGCAAAATACAAGATACTTGGCGATAGTTATGATCAAGCTAAATGGAATTGTGTCTGTGATCTAATAAAAGGGATATTATCACTCTGATATCCTACACAAACAGGTTTTATAGTGTTGAAATGGTTTAATGAACGTTTGTGTATGCTCGAGCTCGAGTTATACAAACCAAACATCATGATAAACCATGTCATCTCAAATCTTCTCAGCCCTGAGATGTTTCAAGTGAAACAGAAAGATGCTATGAGTATCAGAATGAACACCAAATACGATTACAGCATCTCATGCTTTGTAATTTTTGACATAATCTATGAGATAACAATTAGATAATGATATCGAGCATGTGATGAGAAACCATTTGAATAATATTCCCGGGGCATAACAACACACGTCTTATGCAAAAACACTTAAATGTTTATTGAAACAGACAGGCTGCAAGATAATGGAAATAAGACTAAGACGAATGATAGATACAAGGCAATCGGCGCTCGTCAGACGTAATCAATCAACAATGGGGCAAGACAAAACCACAAAAATTAACTGGTACTTGTATCCTCGTGATTCATGCATTATTATCACAATTGCTCATATCACGCTTGAATTTAGACAATGCTGCGATTCTAGTGTCTCTCCACGCTCGTCTTTCTGCTAGTGTCTCTAATGGGATACGTTTGTTGAAATCCTCCTGTATAATTTCTAGAAGAGGGCCTTCTAAACGTGCATTGGGACCAGAATCATTTGACACCTCCCAAACATGTGGTTTACAGCCGTCCTTAAACCCTAATAAATATATGTATATTTTATTATCATTGTTAACATAGTGTTATTTCAAATGGCTACGGGGTGTGTTATTCATTATGTGTTATCAATTTTAGACAACGTTGTTTGATGGACTGTATTTGAATCAGTCACTTACCTCCCTTAAAATTTAAGTGTCTTGTTTCTAAGGGCCCCATAAAGGCATATCGAGTGCCTAGTCCATCTGACATGACTTTATCGACGTCTTCAATACTGATAATGCCATCCTACACAAGAAAGGTTACGGATGACCCACATAGTTGTAGTTATAAAATAGTATAGTATTGTATTGACATTTAAAACTGTAACCCACTTGAAATATTAATCATATCTAAGAAATTTCCCAAATTGAGATGATCTTCTTTCACTGATAAAATTCACCATTCCTTTTGCATTATGGGTATTCAATAGAAAAATCAAGGCTACCCCGTTATTAAAAAGTAAAGATTCGTGTCTACAGCTGCTAAAATTCCTTACCTGTACCATTTTCCATGACTCCATCAATACTGCATGATGCACACGAGGTAATACAAATCCATACACCTCCTTTGTTAGTTTTACAGGTACTTGTCTGATCTCTTGCATCAGTCTATATACCTCATCTACGACATCAGAATCCGTCCATGGCGCCGGTACTAGTTCAGTCAAAGGGACGTAATATGGAGGATTGGTCTGTGTTTGTTAAAATAATTCTGGTTCACCTTAAGTTTACTCTGATGGACATATTATTTCTTAGTTATGATTATTTATACAAATAAACAAATAGGGTTCATAATAAAAGCGTAAAATAAAGTATTTCAAGTGCCTCACCGGATGTACCACGAGCATTCTGGATTTATGTTTTAGTCCGTTTGTGAATCTAGAAGATGGAATGGCACTTGTAGAACTCCCAACAATGCTTTCATCACTCATCACATTGTCCAGATCGTTAAATATCTTTCTTTTAAGATCTATGAGTTCTGGTATGCATTCCTAAAAGGAGTAAATCATTGAATTCACAATAAAAATTATGGCCAGGATTTGTGTCTAAGCAACCTTTCCTCAACTGAATCTGTCAATAAAACATCACAAGTGACGTAACATTTACTTTTAATTTTGCATTTCTTGATATAACACTTTGCTATACTTCCTTATATTTGTCTTATTAAATACATGTCAGCCGTTGTTTATTTACAAGAATGGTGAATGGTCTAATAAGGGATGACTATATTTTTGTTAACTAAACAAAATATCATTCATTTATGTTAAACATTAAGGTATATTTATGGAACTTACCTGGATATACTTTGCTCCTTTGGTGCACGCATCAAAATTAGTAGTAAACTCTATGTTTTCAATCTGTTTCTGCACAGGAATGTCACCTCTTAAAAGATTCTGTTCACTAAGTCCATGCAGTTGTTTATCTATCTCCTCTTTGGCATTGCTGAGCTGCGCTGCACTGTTGTCATAAACGACTACTTTGTAGTCAGCGCTTGCAAATATCATTGCCCAACTTCTTCCAATAAGACCACTGTAATGACAATGAAAAAGGCAGATACTAATCTATGCGTCATGATCAACGAATGGATATAGCGTTATTTGTGTCAGTCTTTCACCCATCTTTTTCATCCTAGTTCGTGTTTAAGTGTGGTTACATAAAACAGCTCACTACAAGAGGATACTTTAAAACATTTTATGACATACCTGTATCCATGGGCTTCACTGGTAAAACATATGTATACACCAAACCAAGTTCTATGGGATGTCGGACAACATTTAAACACGAGTGTAAGTGTACTTATATTAATACGCATACTGCATTGCTGTCCAAATTATTTGTTGGATCACAAACGACGACATCTTATGTAAAAGAAGCTTACCTGCCGATGATTCCAATTTTTCTTGGAGAAAAAGCCATGATATGAGTACATCTGTCAGGTAGTATCTTAATTCTAACAAAATATTACATTGATAGTCTATAGCTGGTTGTTGACGCTGACCTTGCTTGGTTTATCTATAAACTCTACAACATAGAGGCTGTACCAATTTCGTCTCGAGCCGCTAACTTGCGGGATATATGGCCCTATACTTACATATTTGTATGGACATCTTAGACAATGTTTATGACGATGTATTATGAAAATCACAATACTAAGTAGAGTCTGGCATGGCCTTATAGATATGTAAGTATACTATAATATGAATAAAGTAGACCAAATTGTTGTGTTTTCTCGCTGACAATTTTGGTACTATGCCCCGCTCGTTCGGCAGCCAATCGTAATTGATACATCCCTTTTGTATTAGTGTTACGGTAGAGGTACTAACTATAAGTACCTCGAGCTTTGTTGTATACATTAACTAGTGTAAGTGTCATCGTTCCTCTTAGCTTGCAGAATGAAGCCTACTTACACAGCTAAGGCCACCGGGGTACTACATGCCATGTGCACCAAGTACAATTAGCATCTTGCCAAGTACGAAGTATACATGTTGCCCAGCATGTGGACCAAGTTACAAGTCACATGCTGCCAAGTCCCATATTCAAAATTTTCGAAGTCTTAATGATAAACCTCGCATGTGCAGCATGTGGACCAAGTTAGCAAGTGACATGGTACCATGTTGCATGTTCAAATAGCATCTTGTCAAGTTTAAACTATACATCTTGCATGTGCAGCATGTGGACCAAGTTAGCAAGTGACATGGTACCATGTTGCATGTTCAAATAGCATCTTGCCAAGTTTAAACTATATATCTCGCATGTGCTGCATGTGGACCAAGTTAGCAAGTGACATGCTGCCATGTTGCATGTTCAAATAGCATCTTGCCAAGTTTAAACTATACATCTCGCATGTGCAGCATGTGGACCAAGTTAGCAAGTGACATGCTACCATGTTGCATGTTCAAATAGCATCTTGCCAAGTTTAAACTATACATCTCGCATGTGCTGCATGTGGACCAAGTTAGCAAGTGACATGCTGCCATGTTGCATGTTCAAATAGCATCTTGCCAAGTTTAAACTGTACATCTCGCATGTGCAGCATGTGGACCAAGTTAGCAAGTGACATGCTACCATGTTGCATGTTGAAATAGCATATTGCCAAGTTTAAACTATACAACTCGCATGTGCAGCATGTGGACCAAGTTGCCAAGTGACATGGTACCATGTTGCATGTACAGATAGCATCTTGCCAAGTTTAAACTATACATCTCGTCTCGCATGTGCAGCATGTGGACCAAGTTAGCAAGTGACATGCTACCATGTTGCATGTTGAAATAGCATCTTGCCAAGTTTAAACTATACAACTCGCATGTGCAGCATGTGGACCAAGTTGCCAAGTGACATGGTACCATGTTGCATGTACAAATAGCATCTTGCCAAGTTTAAACTATACAGCTCGCATGTGCAGCATGTGGACCAAGTTGCCAAGTGACATGGTACCATGTTGCATGTACAGATAGCATCTTGCCACGTTTAAACCATACGACTCACATGTGCAGCATGTGGACCAAGTTGCCAAGTGGCATGCTGCCATGTTGCATGTTCGAATAGCATCTTGCCAAGTTTCAACTATACATCTCTCATGTGCAGCATGTGGATCAAGTTCCAAAATGACACGTTTGTTTATTTGGAATGGGAAATTAAATGATAAAATATATTTTTAAACTAAAAAGTTTGTTTAATGAACGGTAAAACGAATGAAATGAACACAAATTTGGAAAATGTAATTTAAAAAATGGTAAATTGGTATATAAGTTTGAGCTTTGTAGTAAGCATATGAAGAAATCATCCTCTACAATATTCTTGGTTAGCTGACCACTAACTCCCGGGCACTGACTACATTTGTATTCTGCCACTCTCAGGCCAGTAGTCAGCTTTTACCAGGGAGGGAAGCAGGGGGGAGGGCTGTTTTTAAAGAATTCCATGAGGGATTTGACTTTTCCTTTGCATTATACCTTAGAATTCACACATGTAAAATGTTTCAATATGATAATAATAGATTACTAACTTTATGTTCTCATAAAACAAAAATAGATTGCAGAGAATAATTTATTATGTAGAGATGATTTTATTATGGAATAATTGTGAAGTAATAAACTTGTTAATGTTACAAAGCTATGAACAGCATATTACTGTATCATATACAATTATTCTAACACAATTCTAAACACATGTGAACATTATAGTATCCTTGTATTAATGTTCCAATCTGAGTGTCAGTTAGTTCACTAAGTAGGCTCCCTGGTCAGAAACATCTTGAATTCTTGAATAAGTAGAAATAAGAATATAACTATTTATGTAGAATTGAAAATCTGTATATCTGCAAATATAGAACATTTACCATTGCCCATGAGTTTTCTGCTCTGTAGAAAGACCATAAATGCACATCTTTATGAATTTATATAATCAATAGCACTTTAAGTCCCCATATAAGGTCTAAATCACTTTGGCTTATACTGTAGTCTTACTCAGTGTTATATGGAAGAATGTGAAACTTATTTTAATTGCTAATTATGAATTTATATAAAACTAACTTTTATAACTAACTTTTAGAGATCACATATATATTCTAATAAGCGATAATTCAAACCAATGCATAGCATTCATCCTCACATGATTTTGGTGAAAAATTAAGAAAATTGGTTCAAGAATAGGCGAGAAATGAACTCGTCAATGCTTTAAAATGGTTCAGAGAAAAATGTATTTCAAAATTTCTTCTTTCCTCCCGTATTTTTGACTGAAATCTCCCTTAATCTACCGTGTTTGAGCTAAATCTACAGTCAGTAACCTTGATTATTGGACTTCTTTCTTTTACTTTCAGTTTTACAGCAGGGAAATGTATATTTTCTGTAAAAACTAAGCGAGCAAAGGAACCCTCATAATACTTGTTCAGGGCCAACTTACATCATGGGCTTTTAATAATCAGCCTGATTACTCATTAATTTTTGTCATATTCTTTTGTTTTCCCATTTCATTTGACTAAATGAACTTTCATTTAACTTTTATTCACCATAACCTCGTTCAAAACCAATTTCAGGTTGGCAGGTCTGACGTTAGTTGCAAAATATTTTTGATATGCTAAACCATTGAAGTGGCGCATCATTAAAAAAATTCAACTTTTATTTGAAAAATGGCGGGAAATTTGATAACGAGAAATGAAAAAATTCAAAAAATGAATTTAACCCTTACCCCAAAAAATGAATTTAACCCTAAGACCATGAATATGTGTGTCAAAAATGTAAAATAAATTAAAAAATGAATTCCATAAATAAATAAATTTTTCTATGTCAAAATATAAAAAAAAGAATTTAATTCTAACCTTAACCCTAACCCTAACCATCCCCAACCCTATTAAACCAGATGGAGTTTTAAATGATTACCTAACCCTGACCTACCCACTGAGGACACAGGACGCGTACCAGACCCTAATGATACAGGGTCTACTTGGCAGGAGCAGCGATCGCTATCAGTAGGGTCTGGCACATGAACACCGCTCCTGCAAAGAGAAATGAGTTAACCGTAGCCTTAACCCTAACCCTAATTACCAACCCCAACCCTATCAAACCAGATGGAGTTTTAAATGATTACCTAACCCTGACCTACCCACTGAGGACACAGGACGCGTACTAGACCCTAATGATACAGGGTCCAATTGGCAGGAGCGGTAATCGCATACCAGACCCTAATGATACAGAGTCCACTTGGCAGGAGCAGCGTTCGCATACCAGACCCTAATGATACAAGATCCACTTGGCAGGAGCGGCAATTGTGTACCAGACCAGTAATGATACAGGGTCCACTTGGCAGGAGCGGCGTTTGCATACCAGACCCTAATGATACAGGATCTACTTAGCAGGAGCAGCGATCCCTAACCAACCCTATTAAACCAGATGGGGTTTTAAATGATTACCTAACCCTGAACTACCCACTGAGGACACAGGACACGTACCAGACCCTAATGATACAGGAACCACTTTGCAGGAGCGGCTATCGTGTCCCAGACCCTAATGATAGAGGGTCCACTTGGCAGGAGCGGCATTCGTGTACCAGACCCTAATGATACAGTGTCCACTTGGCAGGAGCGGCGATCGTGTACCAGACCCTAATGATAGAGGGTCCACTTGGCAGGAGCGGCATTCGTGTACCAGACCCTAATGATACAAGGTTCACTTTGCAGGAGCAGCGATCGCTATCAGTAGGGTCTGGCACATGAACACCGCTCCTGCAAAGTGAAATGAGTTTAAACCGTAACCTCAACCCACCCTAACCAACCCTATTAAACCAGATGGGGTTTTAAATGATTACCTAACCCTGACCTACCCACTGAGGACACAGGACACGTACCAGACCCTAATGATACAGGGTCCACTTGGCAGGAGCAGCGTTCGCATACCAGACCCTAATGATACAAGATCCACTTGGCAGGAGCGGCAATTGTGTACCAGACCCTAATGATACAGGGTCCACTTGGCAGGAGCGGCGTTTGCATACCAGACCCTAATGATACAGGATCTACTTAGCAGGAGCAGCTATCCCTAACCAACCCTATTAAACCAGATGGGCTTTTAAATGATTACCTAACCCTGAACTACCCACTGAGGACACAGGACGCGTATCAGACCCTAATGATACAGGGTCCACTTGGCAGGAGCGGCGATCATGTACCAGACCCTAATGATAGAGGGTCCACTTGGCAGGAGCGGCATTCGTGTACCAGACCCTAATGATACAAGGTTCACTTTGCAGGAGCAGCGATCGCTATCAAAAGGGTCTGGCACATGAACGCCGCTCCTGCAAAGTGAAATGAGTTTAAACCGTAACCTCAACCCACCCTAACCAACCCTATTAAACCAGATGGGGTTTTAAATGATTACCTAACCCTGACCTACCCACTGAGGACACAGGACACGTACCAGACCCTAATGATACAGGAACCACTTTGCAGGAGCGGCGATCGTGTCCCAGACCCTAATGATAGAGGGTCCACTTGGCAGGAGCGGCATTCGTGTACCAGACCCTAATGATACGAGGTCAACTTGGCAGGAGCTGCGATTGCGTACCAGACCCTAATGATACAGGGTCAACTTGGCAGGAGCGGTGATCACATACCAAACCCTAATGATAAAGTGTCCACTTGGCAGGAGCAGCGTTCACGGTTCACGTACATCTTTTATTGACTCAGATGTCATCACAATGACATATTAGTCAGTACAATGTACAATATACAAAAATAACTTAGACTAAACTAACTACAAAATACAAAATGTAAACAACATGACAAATGCAAAAATATAAGTTATGAGTCAAGTTTTAAATACAGCATAAGAAAATGTAAAATATCAGTGTGATGTATCATTGACACAATGTTCATCCAACACATATACAATGTATGAATTAAAGATCATTGCCAGGATCAATAAATGACTATGTCTGTTGAACTTGGCAACATGCACACATGGCACCACCAACATTTCTGGTACATGGTACAGATGCTAATACAAGATGGCAAGTGGAACCATGTTGAGCATTAACAGACATTATTATAACATGGACATCCAACATGCCATGCTACAGCCAATAGCCATATTTATCACATGACAACATGCTGTACTTGGTAAGTTGTGAACTTGGGATCACTTGAATCAAGGTACTTGGCACACATGCAAATATAAGATGGCAAGTATGCCAATGCAACATGTATAAATCAACATGCACATCCAACATGCGAACATGGCAGTACTCACAAATTCTGATACATGTACACATGCTAAAACAAGATGCCATGTCCAACCAAAATAGTACATGTTCCAATCTAGAATAAATCTTGAATTATCACTTGCACATTCAACATGCCATGTTGAGCCAGTTGCTCTGTCTTTCACATGCTAGACCAGTAGCATCTTGTCAGAAAGGTACTTGCTAAAATATTGCCATGTTACAAACAAGTATATGCCAAGTGACTGCATCTTGTAGATATTACCACTTGGCAACATGGCAGAACATGGCATGTTTGGACCCGGTGGCCATAAATGTACTTACATACACAAATTGTGTTCTTGTAAGTGTGGTGTAAAGATAAGACAGACCTTTAACGTCAGGTCGAGCCGCTATAGATTTTTCTTTGAATCAGTAGTAGTTATATCATTTACTAGAACTGATAGGTGTAATATGACAACGAACAGATATTCTTAGTACCAAAAAGTCATGTGGTGTAATTCTTACTTTATTTAGAAAACTGAACGAAAAAGTAACATGGTGTAAAATGAATAAAGCGTTTAAAATTATGAAATTAAAGATGTAATAAAACCGTTTTACTCGATTAAATTTATATCTATCAAGGGCACCAACACTTCCTAAAGTTCATATTATAATGATATCGGGGGTATAAATTCAGCAAGTGCCTGTTCTCGAGGCAAAACTGATTTCGTTTTCAGAACTTTTACGTCGCGTGACATGATTTTCAAATGACATTCGTTGGGAATAAATATGCCTTTAAAAACAATTTGGTAAATAAATATAGACCCCTAGCCTCAAAAAAGAGTTGTTCACTCTTTGATTGAGCCAATTATTGCATGGTTCTGGGCTATTTTCATCAATTTTTCAAAGGGTAATGTTTAAGTCCAACTAATAAAATTATAGACGTCATCATATTTTCAAATTTTGAGGTTGACAGTTTCGCCTTAATAAACGTTGTTTTGTGTGAATATATTACTAGCTTTGTAGTCAAAGCTAATTACAAGCTTATTATTCTGAATGTAATTTTATAACATCTTTAATGGCACAGGCAAGGATTTTGTGAAGCTGTTCATGACACACAGAAGGTTTACATCTATATACAGTCAACAAAGTGCAATGTTCATAATAACTTGAAACTACTGTTGTTGTAGGGCCTACACTGGTTAAAGATAGATGGAACGAAGGACGACATATACGAAAGAAGGTGAGACAAGTGTGAATGGGGAGAAGGAAAGAGAGGAAGAAAAGGAGGAAAAGAATAAAGAAATTCCACTCGAAAGTAAAAGATAACTACACAATTTTAGTCTCTCGGGTGCTTGAGTTTGACAGATAACGTTCAATAGCGTATGAAGATGTATTTTGTAAAGGGGTCAATTCAAACCGTTTACTCGAACGGAAAAGTTTACCTAGATTGCATTTAATACGTGACACATATTCCATCAAAACTTGCCTAAATTGTTTTGAAAATAGAAAATAAATAACAAAGTTAATTGCTGAATTCAGCACACCTAATGTCGTTCCTATGGAATACCAATACCTCATCATGTCCCTGTCAGGCATGTTGACCCCAAATGAATAAATCGTGTATACAACACTCGTGGCAAATGCAGGTGTCTGACAAATGATAAATACAACCACTACGACACATAACATTATAGTGGTGCTTTTCTCGTTCGCCTGTAACTTCTCTGCAGCTCTCTGACTGTGACTAGATCGCTGTGCCTTCGCCCCCTTGAAACCTCCTTTGAGGGACTTGATGATTTTAGCATTGAGAATAAGCAGTGTAGTAAGAGGTATTATATAATTCGCAGTATAATAGATGACTGTTACGTAAGCCATTGAGTAGAACATACCATTTTTCTCCAGATATTCTGCATATCCACCCGCTACAAACATCTCAGTGCAGTTATCATATCTAACTGGGTTCAACGCGAAAAATCTCGGAGTATTAAATAATATTGATACAAGTACTGTAATAGTCGCTGCAATACGGATTCTCTTTAACGTACACCATACCTTAACATTTAGAGGGTGACACGTTGCTATGTAGCGTTCAATAGTCACCAAAACGACAAAATTGACAGCTAACAATCGGGCAATTGCCAATAATGCCCAAATGTAGCGATACATATGGGGATAATGTCCGTGAAATGGGTCACCCCAGTCAGTGTACTTCATGATGCCCCTCATGGTTGAGCTAATGAAGGCCATGATGAGAAAACTGCTGTCACTTACGGATAACCCCTGTAAAAGAAATCGTGTTGTCTTGGCTGACGTTATTTTTCCACTCTTAATCACAACCATGGAAATAATGTTTCCTAAAAGGCCAAATGTGCAAAGTATACCAACAATGAAGACATCGACTGTTATTCTAAACGTTACGTAAAACTCTTGGTAATTTTCTTCGGGCTTGCATTCTTTTGATTCTATCGTATTGTTGATAATATCCAATACTCTCGTATCATAAGCAATTGTAGCATTAAAACGTTTGATATCCGAGACCCCCATCATAGTATCCAGCAGATCAATGTTTAGTTCTGTCGATTCAATATTTATTTGCCAAAATCGCACTGTTTTTGAGCACACTTCAGACACGGTTATAAAGTATGTATATTCATGGATATGAATACAATCTGTTTCTATGCTGGTTGTTATGTTATGCAATCCTACGTTCTAGAATCTCCACACATCTTGTTACAAAATATTATTTTCCAAATCAAATTCCTTCTTTCTTATGCTAAAAGATCCATTGGTGGTAGTTTTATCTTTTAAGAGGTCATTTCCTACCTTGAGTTTGTAACGTCCTTGGATTCAACCGTCCAAATTATCCTCACACATTTAACATCAAATAATAAGTCAATATTATTTTTCTTAACGTTAGGTAATTATGCCAGTTGAACTATTATTCTAATGGATTGATTTTATTTAAGTAGCTTATCGATGTTAGTACATGTATCTGGTGTAGCGGATCATTTAGATCTGTGTAAGTCTTATTTAAGAAAGTCCTTTATCACAATAACAAGTATTTTGCTATCTTAATTACATAATAAATGAGGTAAATGTGTGTACATTATCCATTAAACCTCGTGTTATCTCTTTAGAAATGAATAACTTCGTCTGCTACAAAGGGAACTGCATGATCATCGATCCTTGTTTTTGCAATTTGATCATCATGTGTAATTTGTACTTTTACAGGTTATATGTTTCTCGTATTCTCCAAAATTTATCGGTTTATCAGTTATTTAGTCAAGTAGGTAAGATCTTTTAGTTAAGAACTCTACTCGAGTAGGTTGTGCATAATAAAGACGTTGGAGGTTATCGACAGGTCTTCAACTTTAAGTTTATGTTATACTGATTTCGCCATTTACTCGTTTGTCGTATGTTCGTTGCAATATACTAATACATGAAAAGAACATTGTCGTAAAAACAAAATTTCAAAATGCTTTTCTTACCAAATTATCCTTGATAGTATGTTTCTAATCTGGGACTTCTCGATTTTGTGAATTTATTGTGAAATATCATGATCGATTGATGTCACTCAGATTTCCACAACTCAATAGGTCATAATTAAAAACAATTTTCCAAGAAAATCCACCCACCAGTATATCCTATCAAAGAAGTTATGCTGTACAATTAGGAAATACGGAAAATCAGGATTGGTTTTAGAATAGCACCAAGGGCTTTAAATAACTGTCACGTAGAACTAGTTCAAAAGCCAAAATTACCCAAATATGTAAAGCATCTTTGGTCCAAGGGTATTTCACTTCTTTCCATAAAGTGAATTGAGTAATAAATGAAGTCATTTGAATGAAGGATGAAATAAACCAAAATATTGTTTCAAAGAAAAGATCGATCTAGACGTCTTTGCAAATATATCTATTTTACATCAATATGTTTATCTGTTGTCAAGCAACAAACGTGAAAACATAGTGCATGGTACACAATGTCTGTAGGAGATTTTAGAGAATAATTTAGTGTTCAGATATGAGTTTATACAATTTTAGATAAATAGCCTATGGATTAGGGTCATTCACGGTTGGACTGGGTTACATCAGCCACGTTCTTCTTGGGTTCTCAAGGCTTAAACTTTTTAAAATAATTTCTATAATTCTTTTCTAATTGTCAACACTTTCTTTGTGAATAATTTTCATTGCCAATGGAAATATTACTAATAATGAAGATTTGTATTGACAAAGAGACACTCGTTAATTTAATATACAACAATCGTAGTCTCTTGGGTGTTTTAATTCCAAAGATAGAAGGATGTACATTGCGTAGATTGCTGACTATTTCTTCAAACCTTTTACTAAACTAAATTTCACTTTATGCATGACAGATATTCATGTCTAAGTACCCGTCTAAATTGTTTTGAAAATACAAAATAGATGCCAATGTTTGTTGCTGAATTCAACACAATTAATGCCGTCCCTATGGAATACCAGTACGTCATTATGTTTCTATCTGGCATATTCACCCCGAAGGCATAGAGAGTGTATACAATATTACAAGCAAATGCGGGGGTCTGGCATATAATGAACACCACCACGACAACAAAACACATCATAGTAATACTCTTCTCTTTCGCCTGTGCCTTCTCTGCAGCTCTTTGGCTGATACTAGATCCCAATCTTGTAACTGCATTGAAGTTCCTTTTGAGAGTTGTAATAATTTTAGCGTTGAGTATAAGGAGGATGGTAAGAGGTATAATGACATCGGCGGTATAGTAAACGACGGTTACATATATTACAGAGTAGAACATACCATTTAGCTCCAGATAATCTGCATATCCACCGACATGGACGATATCTGTGCAATTATAATTGTAAGCAACAGGATTCAAATCGAAAAATCTTGGAATATTTAATAACATTGATGCAAGTACGGTTATTGTCGCTGTTATACGGATTCTCTTTAATGTACACCATACTTTAACATTTAGAGGGTGACACGTTGCTATGTAGCGTTCAATAGTCACCAAAACGACAAAATTGACAGCTAACAATCGGGCAATTGCTGACAAAGCCCAAATATAGCGGTACATATGGTGATAACGTCCGTGAAATGGGTCGCCCCAGTTTGTGTACTTCATGATGCCCCTCAGAGTTGCGCTAATGAAGGCCATGATGAGAAAACTGCTGTCACTTACGGATAGCCCCTGTAAAAGAAATCGTGTTGTCTTGGCTGACGTTATTTTATCACTTCTCATCACAACCATGGAAATAATGTTTCCTAAAAGGCCAAATATACAAAGTATACCAACGATGATTACATCAACTGTTATTCTAAACGTGAGATAAGACGTTTGATAGTTATCTTCGTCGTGACATTTTTCCAGATCTTCGAGCATTCTGTTTTTAGCTTTGAATCCCGACAAATTGTCGTATTTTGTAAAATTAGTGCTTACAGAGTCAACCATTGTACTGTTGTTTCCATTCGATATTTAATCCATTTTCAGGCATGGCGAAATAAATGTGATCTATGTCGCATGTACATTATGAAAAACAGTGAAAAGCAAGTTCTTGCATTGGATCTCTTAACCTTTTCAATTAAACATCAACCTATGAATCTGGTTTTACTTTTTAACTATAAGTGTCAGTTAGTTGATGTCTTCCTCCTAAGGTTGTAAGAAGTATGCTTTACACGGAATATCTGAACGTCTGCACATCGAGTTCATATCTTAATGTAGGAAAGATATGATATACATATTGTTATTGTTAAAACCTTACTCTCTCTGTTTAGAAGTAAAGAATGTAGACTGCTATTTTTCACATTTATCAGTTTCTATAATTGAATTTCGTGCATTGTAAATACATTGGGAAAACCTATGGCATCCATCGTTAATGCCACTCATTATATCTACCAAGGCTCTTATGTAACCATATCTTAGTTTAGGTCACGATGTACCCACTCGATTACAAGAGCGATGATGTCAATTTTCAAACCAACCTAAATAATCTAAAGAAGTTACAAACGAGTCGGATATGGTTCATCGCCATAGACTAAATATGCATTAATGTATACGTTTTGTCATTCAAAGCGATGATGACAGTTCCTAAACCAATTTAAATAACCTAATGAAATTACCAACAAATCGGAAACGTTTCCTCAATATGACTTCTCTGAATTGCCTTCAAATATAAGCGTGAATCCCATAGCCAGTCAGCCAAAATAATTTATTTGACACCTGGTAATAAATTAGACTAAGAAAATATGTCTTGAAAGGAATTTGCAATTTGTCGGACACTGGGGATAACCCGTTTCTTAATCCAATATATGTGAATTATCTTTGACTTTATGTGAAACAAGCTATTTATAACACAAAGCCAGAACAATTATTGTAGAATTCAACAGACATGACAGATGGAGACAATGGTGTTTACATCGATACCCAGACAGGGAAGGTAGAAAAGTTGAATTAAACCAAAATATATTATATTGGTTTTAGTTTTTATTATCTAAATAACTATATTACAGTAAATGTAACTTAGTATTTTGTAAAATTCTAACTAGGTCAGTTGCACAGTAATTAGCATGGCACTGTCTTCCCGTCTATGATATTGAAGAAGCTGAAAAGGTAAAACGATGCAATAGTATCCATTTGTTTTTAATTTTTTAAAACATCCATGCATGAAAAATGGTGTATGTTCATATAAACAAGCTAGTATAACATATTTTTCTCACAACAATATTTTTTATCTTAGCTATGCAAAACAGAAAAGTACTGTAAATTACATGTTTGAATGCTGATCAGTACTAATTACTTACTTTAATATCCGTATTCGTATCCCTGGGGAGCGACATATCCGTTGGGTCCAACAACTTTTCCGGTCTGGGCATCAATGTAACCACCATTGTCACCAACAATCAGACCAGATGGGGACTTGACAACAGCTCCGTTGGGTCCAACATTGGCATATGGGTAGCCATCTCCATATGGGACGTATCCGTAACCATGGGCCTGGTATCCATAGCTTCCGTATCCATAGCCATTTCTGGCATATCCATAACCATAGTCTACTTTGCCATCACGGTTGGCATCAAGTGAGTCTGGGACACCATCACGGTTCTCGTCATCTCCGTATTCGTAGCTACGAGGAGCAGCACAGGCAATGGCCACAAGGGCGAAGAGGCACACAAACTTGAGCATTATGTAATAAGATTCTGCAAACAAGTCAAAATAATTTTTTACTGTTAATTTAAAAGTTTTTATAGTTCGATCACTTTTTATCAGATCAATTACAAAAAAATGCATGTTTTACAATTCAACATATGCTATTGTATTTGAGAGAACATTTTTTTAAATAATACCCTTTGCATTTGTTTGACTTCGTTTCCTAAAAGAGAGCTTCGTTGTAGTTTATAACTAGACTCTGCAGTAGGTAATGCAATAAATATTGTTTGAAATCACATGATATTATATGCTTACCTTATATCGGATCGAACCAAATGTAGTGAATGTTAAATCTGTGTACCGTCTGGATTTTATACTGAATTGTCATGTTTCCTAAGGCAAATACCAAACCTTGTTTAACATTTCGGTAATTAACGGTAATCAACTTATTTAGAAATGATATAATTGTCCATAATCAATAGTGTTCAATTCAAATTAATGAAGTTTATGAATGAAGTATATTGTCATGAATTAGTGTGTTCAACACGCTTGAATATTATCAGTTTAAGTGGATCAATTTTCATATAATCCTTATGTGTCTGATAATTATACAAACGAAAATATGTCCAGTAAAAGAAAATATTAGACTTCCAGGATTCATCTTTAGAGTAACGTTGATATATTACCATGCAGCCAAGCTGCGATCTTATCAAAAAGTAAAAGAAAATCACACCACGAGAAAATTATATCTCAGAACAAATAGAGGTCTCCTATGATGTAAAATCTAGTTTTTCTGCAACTAAGTATTGTATGTTTTCCTTGTATTACATTGGGTTTTGGTTACTTCTATAGTTTGTTGTCCCTTTAAATGTTTTGTGGCTAGATCTGAAAACGCGTCACTATGCTTACATAAAGTACTATTTGCATACTTGCATGCTAAGGAATAATACATTACCCATTCTGATACTCATAGCATCTTTCTGTTTCACTTGAAACATCTCAGGGCTGAGAAGAAATGAGTTATCATGGTTTATCCTTGGGGAAGATGTTGGCGGTTCCTTCCAAGTATTTTATCATAGGTTATGGGCCGATATAAAGATGGCAGCACCAACAGAATCCAGTATTATCTTTTTCTCAAGAGAATATTTTCAATAAACACAGATCAATTACCATGCCATCTTTATTTAAAAATTATTCCTATCGGCCTTTGCCTATATATTTTATAGCTATGTGCATCTTTGTGTATTATACCTGTCGCTCTTATAAGTTCTCAGAGAGTTCTATTTTGTCTATTCACTCAGGTGATCCGCTCGATTGCGCTGGTTGCCGGAGCGGTTCGTTTCGGTGGCAAAATGTCGGAGCGTCGAAGGTGCGATTTTTCTTTTTTCCTTGTTTCACGCGTTGTGGGCAGAATTCCCACAACGCGGGCGTGTGTCGGTGTCGTATGTTTGGGAAAATGCACGTGTTTGCGAACAAGTGGCCATGGTTCAGAGGACGGCAGAATCCTTGGTTCCTCACTTGAGTTACACAAACGGTATTTCGAAAAACAGTTAAGATCTATACGCATAAATGTACACTGATACCATGGCTTTGAGTAATCATTGAGTTCATGAATGATTATAGGCATTATAACGACGTCGACAAGTTTTGAATAATTGATAATTCTTCATCAGACTTATAATCCCATGTGTAGCCCAAGAATCAATTATACTTTCTCTGTTGTATTACAGGATTGCACTGTCAACATCTGCACCAGATGCATGTTTCATACTAGTGAGGAGGCTAGTATCAACCATTCTGCACTTCCGGATAAAGGCAAAACTATAATTGAATTTACACCTTTAAATAACCCCGAAACTGACCTGGAAATATCTCCGAGCGATCATTCTGTGTTTTCACAAAAATTCAAGCCACAAGCATCTCAATATTACAGCGATGATTTAATTGACATAACTGTATAGATTGAAGTTAATTCAATTAATTTAAGTTAATTCACTTAATTCAAATATACTTTTAAAAAGAAAGAAAAGTTAGTCGTTAGAGGTTAGAAGTGCAAATCTCTTAAAATCACATGAAAAAACGAGAATTAGCGAGATTTTAAAGCTATATGGAGACTTCTCAATTTAAAAACACTTTAAAAGACTTTAAGTGAAAACAGTGCACGCGCCGATAGCGATCTCTGAACTTCTCAAATTGTTTTTTAAGTGAGTCATTTTTCTCGGCTTAATTTTCGCAAAAAGAAGCTTGTTAGTTACGTGTTTTTACTTTTTTCATTTTTTCTTCTCACTACGTATAGTGCCACTTTAAGTTCTTTAAGATCTCCTTGAGGTAACGAAGTTTCATACTTTCAGGAATTCAGGCAGTCACGATAATGGCCTGAGATAATGGCACTATGTTCTAACTGCTAGTATCTAATTTTCAAAATATGGCAGGCTGAATTATAGTCTTGCTTCAAATGAATTCTATTAAACTGAATATAAGAAACAAGACAAGTAAGATTCATAATCTCAAAAACACCTCTCTCATATAATACCATATCACGCATAATGTCGTTCACAGCCTACAACCGAAGATTAGTAGTTAAAAATGCTATACTCAATCACGCAAAATGGTAGTCAAAATTGTTCAATCAATCCCATATAGTGAGGACTGTAATACAAGTGTGTGCCTCTTCTTAATATCCAGTGGCATCTGACTGGATTCGTGGTGTTGAAATCCCCACGTATAATTTCTAGGAAGGGCGTGTCATCTTATCAAAATTCTGCACCGCAATTTGTTATTAACAGCTACCAAGACACCTAATATATTTAAGCGGTTTACCGAAACAATTTTTAGAGGATTCACATTACAAATCATAGATAGACGCACATCATTACATCAAGATTTTGGACCTATAGTTATCAAATCATTTGTAATGTCATTGTGAATTCCCTTTTATTAACATGCGTCTATTGATCAAAATAAGGTTTCCCGATGAAAAAGCACATCTTTTATTTCCAATATTTCATTCCCGCGTAATAAAATATAGGCTGTATTTTGTATACCCGCGGTGCTAGTGAATTGCGTAATATCTAAATGAGTTTGCGTCCCAGGTATCACTAAAAAGAAAAAATAAGCCATCAAGTGCAAAATACATGCTCATGTGTTTTCAACATAAATAGCTCATCCAAGCGCACTTACACCCACATAATTCTTTTGGAAGACATAACGATTTATTTCAATGGAACTCCTGTGATGCACCAGCAACTAGGCAACACGGTTGACACACGCGGTTAGCCGACAAGATTGAAACATCGTAATTAGCGGCATAAGTTCGCTTAAATGAGCTTTTTTGTTTTAAAACGTGTGGCCATTTAATTTACAACGCAGGGGCTAATTGTTATTTTTCTTGATACCTTGGAGAAAACTTATTCAATATCATGCAATTGACTTGCACCGCGGGCAGTTCAAAAACGCACCCATAGTCTGATAATCTTACACCTGAGATTATATTGGAATATTTTTGGAGATGCTTACTGTCGAGAATTTCCAAGAAGTCAATGAGTGATGTGTCCTCCTAAGAACATACATTGTGAAAGTCATAGGATTATGTGCCTTTGGTCATGATACCTCAAAATGCTTTGGGCTAAATGCAAACTCTTACAGTCGACAATGCCTCGTGGGAATGATCATCTTACTCACAATAGGAATGAGAATCAAGACTTCAATATAGTGGAAGGAATAGCGACAAGGTTTGCTAATATCATTCCATGCCATTTATATTATTTATTAAAAATCGGACTTTTTTAGGATATTCATTCGATTCTTAAGATCAATTCACGTCCATTTTGCAATCTTAATGAATTTGATGTCTGCACCTAAAATAACTCCTTTATTGGATTGTAAGAAAACAATTGCAAGATTTTTGAAAACATTCCATTTTGTAACCATGTGGTAAAGTATCTATAGTAGATACATTTCAAATGTAACAGTTTAGACATGTAAGACGCCGCATAAGAAATCGATCCATCTTTCGCAACAAGTCATGAATCATGACCTTGACTTAAATCTTGTCTGGTTGGCTGCCAAGTTCAACTATTGACAATTGTAGATTTATTAATTAACAAATTGTATTGAAAACGGTTAAGGGATTAAAGGAACCTTTCTAGATATATCAACTGCCTTTGATTCTATGCCTCACAAATATATTCTCGAGAAATTAAAAGGTTATGGTATAAACGAGAACATGATTAAATTATTAAGCTCATATCTAACCAATAGACGAATAAAAGTAGTTATTGATGGGCAAGAGTCAAAAACTTCAGCTGAAAACTACATCAATGCAGGGGTACCACAAGGGTCAATCCTATGGCCTCTTTTATTCTTGATATATATCAATGATATACCAGATGATTTGGAAAATAAGTGCTACCTTTTTGCCAATGATACATCGTTATACTACCCTTACAATGAAACTAACAGGAATGACCAATTCAATTCCTTACAACATGATCTGGACACTATATGTTCTTGGTCAAGAGTATGGAAATTGACGTTCAATGCAACTAAGAGTGCGCAAGTGACCTTCCGTTCGAGTCGTTCCAAAGACCAAGCCAATGACGTTTTTCATCTTGAAGGAAATGTTGTTCAAAATAGTTGGTACCATAAACATCTCGGTTTGATACTTGATCAACACTTGAAATTTGACGAGCACATAAAGTGCCTTGTAAAAAAGATCAACAAATTGCTTAGTCCATTGCGTGCTTTGTGGTTAAAGTTACCAAGTAAACATATGCAGAATATTTTCCAATACTTTATACTACCTCACTTCGAGTACTGTGATATTGTCTTTGGGTTGCAAGTGCTCCTTGTTTGCAATTTCTGGACTCATTATGCTACAGATCTGCAGTACATGTCTCTGGGACAATGTATGGTTCAAGCACGACAAAGGTTTTAAATGCATTAAACTGGTTACCACTAGAAACACGAAGATATCATCACAGAATGTACCTTGTGTATAAAGTATCTAACTCCCTGTCCGTTTCCTATGTTAACGAAATTTTTGAGAAATATGAGCATCAATGTAAATCTAAGGCACATTAGAAAGTACCAACTTCCGAGGAGAGGGGCAGCTTATTGTCACGATCGTGTGTTTTCAGATGCAAAACAGAATGGAATGGTCTAAATGCCAACACTAGAAATTTTCAATCATTGTCCTCCTTTAAAAGACCTTTGAAATTAACGCATGGCAACTCATTGATTACAACCATGGATATGGAAATTAAGAGGAGTCTACAAGAGATACCATTAAACAGAATCTAGATGCGATTTGTTCCTTCGCTCCCAGTTTCATGCTCACAACTTTACTACTGTGGATTCGCCTGTTTGTTTATGTGGCATAGAAAATTTGAAACGTTGAGACATTTTTTCTTCAAATGGTAATCTTACAAGGGCAACCATGAAAACTTTGTTTGGTGAAGTCCAGCATAATTTCCCAGAAATCAACTTTAAAGATATGGCCCAACTTGAAAAAATACACACCTTGCTCTATGATTGCGACAGGATGAGCAAATATCCTTGATCTATTTTTATTATATTTTATTTATATCATATGTCACTTTAATATATATAAAGACATGGCTAGTAATGCCAGTATGGCACAGCCATTGAAATGAATTTATAAATAAAAAAAATAAAAAAATCTTGTCCAAAAATACAATTAAAATTGAGATATCATTTTCCTAATATACGTGAAACGCAGCTCATTGAATTGAATGCACCTATTGACAGTTATCAAAGCCGTTAGTACTAAGTAGTTAATCTAAGACTTGTTTATCTAGGTCAGTTGTACAGTATCTATAAAGTAAACCGATTGTCATCGCAGTACTTGATAAATTTACATTTCCAGAAAACGGCCTTCGATGCTTGTTGTCAGTAAATCATTCTTGAGATTTGAAAGGACTTTATTCATTCATACATATTTGAACATTCCAATGTTTCTAGTGCTCGTATGTTAATATTTTTTAACAAGACCGTGTACACTAACCTGTCATGTCATGTATGTTTGGATTATCGGAGCCACTGGCCTTTACAGTACCACATATCACACCTAACACTGGTTCCAGCTTATTTTGGGTAGTTTTAGGTAGTCTATATATCCAATAGACTGAATTTCCTGAAAAATTCAGTCTATTGATCATTATGTCCCTCCTGTTGGAAAAACAGGAAATTTCCTGCACACAATTATCAATTTTAAGAAACTTTACTTCCCAAAAATAAGCACTATAACAATTCAATTAAGAAGTAAGGTACAATTAAATGCTATAAAAAGTAACACAACATATTGTCAAATGGAAATAAAGCTAGGGGAAGTAACAAATATGCAAATTAATTACCCAATCGGCCATTTTGAATGGCACTTCCTATGTAAACAAATCATTTCCAATCCCAAGTTTTAACATATGTGGGCTATAGTCTGAATATTTTCATTCAAAATTTCAAAAAAATTTCAGACTAGAGGATATAGTCTATACTTTTAGGTATCAAATTAATGGTCCAATCTAAAAATGTGACCCTAAAATACCTGAACATGTTTTTAAAATGTGCTTACTTTTATAATCAATTAACTTTTGGTAGGCTTTGATATAAACCTCTCTTCTGTTGTAAATTGAAATTACTCACACGGTAATTAGGCGAATTAATGACCATGCCAGTGAGCAATTTTTCAAGCGTTGATATATGCAGAAAATCAGGTTTGTATCAACCTCTACCATGTCTACTATAAATTGATAGCACAAGTTCACCAATTCACTCAATAAATATAATTTGTTAGTCATCGATGAATTATGGTGCTACTTCAACAAAATTAGTCACATTTTTATTGATTGGAAACTTGAGATTCATTCATCAGAGCGGAGCCAACTCTTGCCAAGAGGGTTCACTTTTTAAACAAAAATGCTCAGAATGGTGAAAAACTGCATGATTATGAAAGAATTTTTGGCTAGGGAGAGGGTTCACTCGCACCCCCTGACCCCCCTTGCTACAGGCCCGTTCATGCAGTTTCTATACGAGGAATCTTTTTGAGATGGAAACTGTTGTATTAATTGTTCATGCACGATTGGGATTCAACAATATTCATGAACAAAAAGAGGAGTATAAACTCACGTGCAAAATGAATGGTATACCTTGCAAACACTTGAAACACAGTTCATATGTTCAGAAGGCATGCACCTTTGAATCCGTCACATAGCATGTTGGACTTGACTCATTGCGTATCATTAATCATTGGTCGTAATTAATTTCGGAAGAACTTGGTACATTGAAGATCCATATATTCGACAACATTTTAACAACGTTATTATTTGCCAATGTGCAAGTTATGCGGATAATGTCTATATATTTAAGAAATTGTAAAACATCGAAAGCCATTACACCACATAATACTAACAAAGGGTACAATTCCTTCCAAAAGTTAGACAACCTCAACAACCTCATTTGACGACATGTTCTTCTGTTAATGTTTGGTGTTCAAAAATCATATCTGTCAGAGATTCCCAAACTTAAGTAACTGAGAAAAATGAAACTTTAGCATGCATAAGCATCACACGCTCTCAAACTAGGATTTGGGTTGCTAAGCTTTTGAAGGGGAGTGTACTTTCTTAATTCATATATCAACACTGAAATAATTATCCACCAGTTACATACTGTAGGTGACAATAATACTGATAATGATTAGATATGGAAGGAACAACATTTGATATTAAGATATGATTTCTACACAATCATTGTCTCTCTGGTGCTTGAATTCGACAGATAGCGTTCAACTGAAGACGATGTACTTTGTGTAGATTGCTGGCTTTTCTCAAACTTTTTACTAGAACAGGTATATTTACCACGGTTGCATGAAATGCACTTAATGCATGACAGATACCCCATCAGTACCTGTCGAAATTGTTTTGAAAATACGAAATAGATACCAAAGTTTGTTGCTGAATTCAGTACATTTAATGTTGTCCCTATGGAATACCAATACCGCATCATGTTCCTATCGGGCATATTAACGCCAAAAGCATAAAGGGTGTACACCATACTAATAGCGAAAGACGGAGTCTGGCAAACGATAAATACGATAACAACAACGCATAGCATCATAGTCGTGCCCTTCTCCTTCGCCTGTGTCTTTTCTGCTGCTCTATGATTAAAACTAGAACCCAATGCTTCGACGCCTCTAAATGCTCTTTTGAGAGTTATAATGATTTTAGCGTTTAGTATAAGTAGTAAGGTAATAGGTATAATGACATTGGCGGTATAGTAGAGTACTGTAATATAGGCCATTGAGTAGAACATACCATTTAGTTCCAGATACTCAGCATATCCTCCAACGTCAAGCATCTTTGTGCAATTATCGTATTCAACTGGTATAGCATCGAAAAATCTCGGAACATTAAATAGCATTGATACAAGTACGGTTATAGCTGCTACTATGCGCACTCTTTTTAACGTGCACCATCTTTTGACATTTAGAGGGTGACAAGTTGCTATGTAGCGTTCAATTGTTACCAAAACAACAAAATTGACAGCTAACAACCGGGCAATTGCTGACAAAGCCCAAATGTAGCGATACATATAGGGATAGCGTCCGTGAAATGGGTCACCCCAGTCAGTGTACTTCATGATGCCCCTCATGGTTGAGCTAATGAAGGCCATGATGAGGTAACTGCTGTCGCTAATGGATAACCCCTGTAAAAGAAATCGTGTTGTCTTGGCTGACGTTATTTTCCCACTCTTGATGACAACCATGGAAATTATATTTCCTAAAATGCCAAACAAACACAACGAGCCAACAATAAAAACATCTACTGTTACTCTAAATGTAAGATAAAACGTTTGGTAATTATCTTCATCGGGGCATTCATCCGACTCAATCGTACTGTTAATTCCATCGAATCCAGTGCTATTGTATGCCGCTGTAGAATTAATACTGTCGAAATACGAGACCCCCATTGTAGTATCCAATTCGATGTTTAATTCCGTTGATTCTTCGATTCGTTCATTAAATCCTTAATCAGTCTTTCTTTGGGCGTTGTACTATAAAAGTAATGACATAAACGTTTGTCGTCATGTGCTGTTCCTAGCTATAGTCGCCCCATTGTACTTGATCAATGTCTGCCATTTCAAGATTCAGGATTTTCCATTTTTTAATAATTCATCAACCTGCAATAACATAAATCCAAACTATAACGTTCCCATAGTGACTATTTACTGAAAATAAATTGCAAGGAACCGCCAGTGCCAGTTACTGGCTATTAAATGCATCCTTATGACTTTATCTTTTCTTATGTAAATACTTACTGTGTTATCAAATAAACCAGCAAATTATGTGAACGGGTGAAAATTATTGTGAAAATTATTGTGTTGAAATATGCGTAAACGTATAATCAAGCACAAACGTTTTTACTTTATAGATCCATCACTACACGAAGATAACTTTTGACATCCAAATTCAAAAGCTTTCACGTAATCTACCGGGGTACATATGTTGGGCTTTCTCCATGATTTCATCGTTTCTGGCAATTTGTACACTTGCACAGAATCATAAGGCTATTATAAAGCAATACTATATTTTATGACCGCTTTATCTGGCATGTAATGATGGTAAATCACAATCTATTTAATCTTTTCTCATCGCTTACGAAGTTGGCAATGATTCTGGCGCTCATTGCTCTAGTTTATATTGTTTACATTTTATCAAAATGCTCTGTTATCCCAACTGTACCGACGGATAAAAGAGGTACATAAATCGTGAAAATTATGCCCATATAAGGAACGAGAAACAAGTGCTACATTTGAGAAATAAATTAATATACAAACCGTGAGTAAATCATTCATTTGATGATTTTCCATATAACTAATGTGTAACATTGCCCGTTATCATCAGTAATGTCCAACTTAATGTCCATTTAGCATTTAGGTATATGAGAAAAAGAAAAAGTGCAATGACAGCTCTAAGCCTCATGTGAAATTATGAGACTTATAACTTCAAGCTAGTATTATACTCACGTAGACTTCGTTATGACCATTAAATTATGCCATGATACCACTAGAAAAATCCAATCTAAGATCTTGTATTGTTGAGATTCATATTTGCGTTGTCCTCATTCCAATGCAATTCAATTAGTACCTCCTCACTCCTCTTAATTGTCCAAACACTATGTTTAATCAATATTATTGCAGACATTTACCTATTTTGGTCAATTCAGGAAATAGATTGTCAAATAGTTGTTAATTATGAAATTCAAACTGCACTGCTAGTGTGCTGTCCGTTTTTGCCTAAATAGACTATTCTTAATTAGTTTCTCACGTTAGCGTCAATTTTATCTTCACGAGTTCGCCAGTCGTTTCGACCTCATAGTTTAACAAAAGCTCGTTTCGCTTTAACCTACTTTTAAATCGTTTATAGATGTATTCTTTGTCATGATGGCTTCATAGATTCTGTGAATAGTGGCACAATGGCATTTATTAATGTTGTTGATTTTCTTCAGTTTAATTATTATTCAGACTGCGCTTCTATATAGTCTAGCCTCTTTGCCGTACTCCTCTTATAGTCAGAATGGAGCTGCCAAATTCATCTAAATAATCCAGGTTGCATAAGAGCATTACTTTGAAAACATAGTTCAGTCTTAATGTCGTTTATGGTTTAAGAGTGGGCAAAGGATATAGACGAGCAATGGTAACCTTTTGAAAATTGTATTTCATTTATCGCATTCCTTGTCATGTCTATTTTATAAAGAATCAATTTGTTTAAACTTCATTTAATTGAAATAACATTTATAAAAATCCATACAAATAGAATATTTTTACTTCATACCAGTATTATTTTTTTATTAGGATTTTTAAGATTGTCAGCCGTCTCTAATTTCAAAATTCATGTCTTGTAACATTCAAATTCACGACAACGCAACTTTTGTGTTTTTCGAATTATTTGGTTTGTTAAAGAAATGTTTTATTTGGCCTCTTGTATTTTGCTCTGCAATGTTATTTCGGAAGCATGATCTGAAAATTGAAATGGCTGAAATTCCTGAATCACAAAAGGGCGCAGCTTTACTTCGCATTGATTAAAAATAACTATATCTAATAGCATTTTTCCATAATGCTAACCATTCACTCATAAGCCAACACAATGGGGTGTTTATGCTCATCACAGTTGGTCTATGACAGACTAGTTGTAATCAACAGATTACATTGCTTTTAATAGTAAACGTAACATAAAAGCCTGATTTGCAGCATCTTTGATTATTTTCACAAAATACTTCAGCAATGATGCGTAAGTTTTATGTTACTTTCTCTTTGCCATTTCGAAACGAAGAAGACTTAACTGAAACAAATATCTTAGATATGTTCCCATATATTAATTTTGTGAAATACTGTCATGATCAATTCACAATGATTAATTGCTTGTTATGTGAAATGTATAGAATTTCATTATTTTGAAAGAGAGTTCGATCTAATATTGTACCATTTATGTGACTATTATATATGTGTTTGAAATAACATGGTTGAATATTCTCATTAATACTATCTGTCATATTTTTATTTTCGTCAAGTGTCTCTTAATCTGGAAGGAGATTAACGATAATCCTTTTAAAACGATTCCCAAGCCCAGTGATTATGCAACAGAGACATATTGCATACAAATGAACCAGGAAACTTGTTCAAAGAAAACAAAACAAAGAGGTGATGAATAGAACTGATGAATTTGGATATCCCTTTATCTTGAACCTTCAGATTGGGTTCGATGAGCTTTCAATTCAAGTAATTTTCAGAGATATGCATTTGAGAATATGACGAGGAACACTTGATTATTGTAATGTTTCAGTATGTTACTCTCACAATGCAACGTGAATCAATATTGATTTAATCTCAAAACAGAACAATGTGTGTGTTATCAGTTTTATATAAAAACACATGATCAAAGAGGGTCAAAATGGAGTAAAACGCACCATGGGGCCTTCGTTGAGCTGAGGAATTATCGCTCTATTCACCACAAATTGTTGCTTCAAATCAGATAGATACAAATCCGTCCGTTGTATTTAATCAAAATCCAGTAAAAATTATATAGCACTACAGTCGCTTTTATTTTGAATTCAGTATTTATTGTTAAATATAAATTGATTTACTGTTTATTGAAGTGCCATATACAATGTACTATACTCGTTCGCTGGTCGTGGTGTTCATTAACAAATTCTTCGAAGCTTCGTGTACATTGACAGGAAAAACGTAGGTGTGGTGTGGACAATTAAAACTTAGACAATTTCCCTCCCTGTTTATTCTTTTAATATATTTCCAAAGAACATCATATTAAAATGCTTCAACTGAGGCAAGATTCAGATATAAGCAAGTCATTCAACCCAATTAATTCTACTGTAGTACTAGTATTCCATGCTATCTATACAGTAATCTGAATATAAGGATGGTTTTATACCAATTTTAATCCAGTTTAATGTTTCAAAAATTACGAATTAAAATGACAAGCCGTGGACCATCCAGAGCAGAGAATATATATAAATTGTATTCCAGTAATGCATTATTGTTATATCCTGATTTCATAAAAAAGTACATGTAACACATGATGCTAACATGTTAACTTCTTAGTCATAGAAATACAAGAATTATATTATGACAAATGATATATGCTCAACCTTATTTAACCAAATTGCTATTTAGATACTTTTATTCTTATCTTGTTTAATGATAAATGATCCATGGCTATATCTTAAGCTAGTCATACACAAATAACAGTGTTCACCTCTTCCTTTTCCCTACCTTCGATTTAGTTGCATCCGAACATCCGAACGCCGGCCTTCATCAGTTAACAAAATCAAATGGAACTAGTTTCAAACCGAAGTAAGTTGGAACAGTATCCCTGTATTACTCCAATCCTTTCAAATAAATATTTGTGTTCTTATTATTATGTTGGCGTTAGTTTATCGATCTAAATCCATGTCCCCTGTTGTTTAGTAAGCCGGATGTCATATGTCTGCCAGCATACTATGTTTCTGTATAGAAAGTTCAAAAGTAAATAAAAACTTTTGGCAATGTGATACATACGCACTTGGAATACTAAACAGGCAAAGGCAAAGAGTCTCTTTTAAAACTATTTTGCCAATCAACTTCTCTGCTTTAAAAGTAAAAAGCAATCACGTCTTTGCCTGCTACATAATAGAACGATCGATAAATACTTATAAATCACAATAATCAGTTTGTGTAAATTGGTGCCATATTTATAACTAGGGGGTATGCATTCTCCAAAAAGGCCAGTTTATCAAAGTTAAGTAGGTAGGATATATGGGGGCTGAGAAATCCACTTGACTTACAGGTGACTGCTCCTTGGAGTTCTGAGTAATACTGAATCAGACAACGTAAAAAGATAATGAAGACGAAAAAAGATCATCAAGGTTTATGTCATGTTGACATTAATGAACTATACCATTCACTAAAATAACGGGCAAACTTTATATTCCTTAATTTATTTTTGAAATCTTAAATGATTAAAGATGTAAAAACAAAAACTGTGCATACTTTTCCCAAATCTGCTCTTCGATTATAGCGTGTAACAGTATGTGTATGACATACTGTACTTTATAAGACTTAATGATATAACAATTTGCATTCACAAGGGGGGATTAACCCCATAGTGCAAAGATGACATACGCTTATAATGTTAACCTGTATTGAGATGACATGTACCTCTGATTGGTCCAAATCGATGATCAAAAATGGCGGATTCAAAATTTTCTAATAACGCTTCGAATAATATTACGTTGATTCCTGGCGTATTAACCAATATCATAACTTGTTTTTTCACATCAGGGTAAAGAAATATGTAAGGAATATGTTTCCATCGATTAAAACATCACAACGACGCGTTATGCTCGAAAATTAACTGGTGAGAATTTGCGCAAGCGAAGGTGGTACGCAAGAGACGCATTATGTTAGTCATCGCCCCTCTTGCATTCACCATGAAGTCTTTAGCAGTGACTAAAAAATTCTAAAGACCTTCCTTGAAGGTTTTATGGTCCTGTTTCAAAACCCCTGTATCAGTAATATAGACAGTATTTGATTTATTAGGAGGCCCGATGGGTTTGAACTTTTACATGATCAAATTTCAATTTGCCTCAAATCGACTATTTTTAAATCACCTATTTCAAATCGATCTTTTGGATTCAAATTTATGCTTGATTATAAAAAACCTACTGAGTTCTGAAGAATAAGATTTTCAAGATCAAAGGTCAAGGTCATCAAAGTAGTTCATGAACGCTATCCATTTGCACTAATTTTGAGATATAAGAGCTCAAAACTGAGGTTTCAAGGTCAAATTTCAATTTGCTTCAACAATTTATTTTTTAAACATCACCTTCAAGTTGCCTGGAATTCGTATATTACCTTAGATTTGAGATTTGATCTTTGATCCAAATAACTTACCAGGACAGTGAATTTGACTGACGTCAATAGTCGATACGTCCGAGGTAACTAATAATTATTGAACATTAAGATATGAAACAATGAAACACAATTACATGAACACTCAATTTTTCAATGAACCTCTTGTCAATGACGTGATACGGAAATGAATAAGAAATGGTAATTCTACTCGAATTTTTTAATTATAAATCGGAATCATGATAATCAGAATCTTAGACGTGTCGCAAAAAGGTGGCGCATTTGTTTTTTAAGGGTATCGCGTGAATGTAACTTTGATTCCCCGGATTATAAGATAATATTCTAATTAAAGTTATATATCATTTGAAAGCTGTTTCGATGAAGTTTTTAGATCAACTACACTCCGTTCACGATTCTTACGCGTTCTTTTTTAAAAAAGAGTTTTTTACCAAAACATCTGGCAAATATCCCCTGTTGACACGTTACATTTTGAATTATTTTTCGTCTTTAAACGCTCATAACTCAAACGATATATGACTATTATACTTATTTTTCGTCTTGATAAAGGTAGATGGAAGTTTTATTTCAAAGGATGAATTTTAGTAAGCGTCCCATATTGTGACGTCATAGAGTTTGAAAAATAGAATCTGTTGACAGCTACCTTTTTTGCTCATTTTTTGTTACCTTCAACTTTTCAGGTGTACATTAAACAAAAAATACGAGATCAATTTTTGATAAATCATACATGATTATTTTGCTCTTAAACTCTAGTTTATTAATAAATAGTTGATTTTGTTCGCAAAAGTATGTGTTTTCTGTTGTATATGTGGAAAAGTGGAGGACGAAAGGTTTTCAAAATTCATTAAAATAGGGCTAATTTACGCCATTTGCCTCTTTTCAAGCATCCGTATATTTATTTCACCTAAAATATCAATTGATTCTTGTTTTATGAAGCTCCTATCCCATTGTTAATATATATACGATATCAGAGTTATTCGCCTTAAATATTTTGAGATATAGAGGCAAATGTGGAGGACGAAAGGATTTCCATATGTGTACATTTTTCTCAAAAAACGTCACATTTTGTGGTGCTAAAAAGCGAAAATGTGTAACAATGCGTGCGCGACCTTTTTGCGACACGTCTTAGCGTATGAAATTTATTTTCTTCATTTCTTTATTTCTTTAATGACATTGATTTGATTGATAATAACATAGTAAGCAGGTATTCGGAAAATATGTATAATCTCGTTCTCGTGCATTTAATTATTAACCTAAGTCCATGGTATGACTCCGGAATGCACGGAACGTAATAGTGCAACAAAATTTGAACCAATATTTAAGGACTGTATGTCTTGATTTTATATTTTGCATAAAAATTTCCCCCTTTCATGTCGAAATATTTTTTTCATTACAAAGGATAAAAAAGACAAAATTATCTTTATTCGAATTTTCTTTCATTCTATACACTGAAAGTGAATCTTAAAGCATACATACATACATACATACATCCATACATACATACAATTAATTGGATTATCAATATGTAAAAATCAATCATTACTTTTAATGTGAATGTCAGAGTTTGATTAGTGAAATTACAAGAGAGGTTTTAGCTTTTATTTAAATTTTTAAATATGGGCCGAGCAGATTCAACAAACTTGTGCGAAATTTTTGGCAATTCATGATTGCAAAGATATTAGTTTTTTTATAAATTAAAACAGTTTATAATAGAGTTTAACCCTATCATCGCCAGGGGTCACATTGTGGTTATTATTATTATTATTAGATTTATTTCCCCTCCATTGATTGGAGATAATATAATAATTATATATTACAGAAATATTAAAACTTGTATCAAAATTACAATAGACAAGATAGAGCTCTTCTAACTCAAATAATAATTATATATAAGCTCTTAGAGCTGACATGTATGGTACAACGGGAAACTCGTAGCTTGGATCCGCAGACATCTTCCCGAAGGTTGATGTTGCATGTCCAGGTGGTAACTCCTGTTTGAAAAAAGGTTATACAAAAAGAAGGAACATACAATATGTACATGTTTTGACAAGGAAGAGATGTAATGACATATATAGTACACTGGAACACACTTAGCATGTTGCATGTTGCATGTCCAAGCGTTTACTCCCGCAAGGGTGAACATATTTAATGCAAAAACTTTATGATATGTACATTTTTTTTTTTTTTTTTTTGACGAGGAGAAAATTGCCATTTTGACAACACACTTGTATTCATATTTGACGTTTTTCAGTTTACTGACGTTCCATCGATCACACGGTGTCCATCACACACTCAAGTAGGGGGACAATCAACGGGAAAGTTCATATATATCTATGAGTCTATACTAATCCCATGCTGTTCCTACATATTGACTTTAATCCTGGCGAGATACATGTTCTGTATAATCGTGCTTACACGTTTAAGTCCACTTTCATTAATACACTGGTCTCCCCCAAAGAGAGCTCGCAGTTTCATAGCATTTGACATTGCACTAATGTTTGGTATTTCATCTAAGATCGAACTTAATGTTACCCTATTGTGGAGCCGACATTTTAAAACAAAGTGTTCGAGCGTTTCAATCTCTTCATTGCAGCTTTCGCAGAATCTATCTCTCATCGGTATCCCTTCCCATTCGCCTGTGTTTACCCTTAAACGGCCTTGTCCTACCATTAGTCGCATCATTAAGTTACATCTCTTTATGAATCTTGAATCTTTCCTGGCTATTATCCACCATATACACGGTTTCACATTGTGGATAACTTCTTTATAGAGAATTAGTTCCTTATAAGTATTAACCTCGCGTATCCAACCATCCAAATCGCAATTCCGTACAATGTTCCGAACATAGCGTTTCCAGGTCAATTTCGATGGATTTGCACCATGGTCTAGGATTTGATACACCATGTCTGTTATTCCATAACGATTCACAAGCTCCATTATGTCTCGTAGCGGCGACAATCTGTTAAGTTTAGCACCATGCCTATACATGGTGATTCTCTTAGTAGAGATTTTACATTTTGGCATGCCATCTCCTGATACCTTGGTGAACTAAGTCATGTGATCATTTATATCCAATCAGAATGCATTTCTGCCACATAGTGATAGCATAGTGATCCAAAGCTAAACCAAGGTGTAGGAAGGGTTTATATTATCATATAGAAGGGGTGCACCTTTCTAATTGGCCATGGTTGACATGCATGTTTGCAAACTTAGTACTTGCATCAAGAGCTCTGACTGGCATCCTAACAAAATAAATTCATACTACACTGATGCCTGGGTCACATTTGCTCCGTTTATTCAATATTGTATTCAATTTTGAACAAAATACTCAATCGGCATGGCTCCGTAGTGAAAATCGGAGCAATCTGCATTACTTGTACACAGTGTATACCAAT